GTCTAAATACTGCTAGATAAAGCGGTCACGGATTGCCTACAGCCAGTACACTTGGCTGGAGGAGAGACCGAATAGGGCTGGGACCTGCATCTCTTTTCTTCCTCTCGATTCCTAATATTGTATTACAGCGTTTTGTACTTTATTCCGAGCAAAGCATAGCTCTACATAGCATCGTATTAGGGTCTAAGTATAAAGAGACAAATTCAGTATAACAAATCAACACCTACCGTCTGCGTATCGACTTTAGCGACTAAAACCACTATGTATTATACGATAGTTCAACAACCTCGATCAAGCTACTAAAATGTTTACACACACCCTATTAGCCACGTGTATGCGATGCATCGTGCATATATAAAAATATTTAGTCATCTACATCAGTGGGTCCCAAACTTATTTTGTTTACTGCCCACTTTGAGAATAAATATATTTTTAGCGCCCCCATATTTTCACATATTTAAAAACCACTATAACTTCAAATTAAATTAATAAATTATTATGACCTTTATATGTATATTAACGGAGAATTTTAAACGTAACTTTTACTATAACCCGCAACTTGAGACCTGCAGCGCCCACATGGGGGCGTTATCGCCCACTTTGGGAAAGACTGATCTACATTCTATGTACGGAATTACGGATATGTATTTCTAAGTATTAATCGAATATGATTAACGTGTGTCTGTTGGTTTGAATAATTAACGCAATAAATTCGCAACAATTAGTTGCATTAGGTTGTGTGAGAGGCGATAGTTATATTTCCCTTCCAGTCGTATTATGTTATGGGAAGAAGAGAAAAGTTCCAGGGAGAAGAAAACGAAAGAGTAACAGTTACATGACTATAAAAAAGCTAAAGTTTGTTCATGATTTAAAAAAAACAAGACAATAAAAATATCGTCTGATATTATAGAACATTTATTAAGGTTATAATGAATACTGTTGCTAGCTTAGTCCAACACAGAAGGAATTGCTGGAGAAAATAAGGCCCACGAAGAGATGTAAAACAAAAGAAGAATTACGTAAATAGAGCAATTTAACACGGGTTATTTTTTTCCGTTAACATAAACTATCGTAATCAAACAGGGAAATCAATAGTTGACCTTTTAAAACAGCTAACAAATACCTAAACTTCATTTGAATATAAACTCAAATAGCTAATATAATCTATCATAGATGTGTTGGTAACAGACTCGGCGCGAGGTTAAATGTCAAATGCATTACCTACATACACGAGTACCACTTCGCTAGAACTTTGCAAATCTCTATAAATGTATAGGCGATTGCTTGGAAATGACAGTTTGCTTCGTTCCGATTTTAAACCTGCCTGTTGATGTTACGTGACAGATAATTCTATTAATATTATTAGTTCGAAGTTACACCACCGCTACAGACCGCTACTATCAGCGCCAAAATGGCGGAAATCAAATAGGCACAAAGAACTACATCTTATAGCGAGTCCATTTATATAGGTTAGTGATTATCTGGAATACATTGTGCTATAATGTAAAATAAGTCTTAACTTCATCTCTTCTTAAGTTCTTTCTACAAATAGTAATTCATTTAATGACATTCGCCAGAAATTATCAATAAATGCGTAAAATTACCAATAAAATATAGTGAGCGTCGGTAGTTGCTGCTTATTATAAAAGATAGCAGAAACATGCGGCTTCGTACGCGCGGAATTTAAAAATCTAGTCATGAATATAGCCTATATCACTCGGGGATAGTGTAGCTTCCCAACAATGAAAGAATTATTCAGATCGATTCAGTAATTTCGGTGCGAATTCGATGCAAACAAAAATACTCTTTATATATTTTAATATTTTAAACATATAGCTCATTTGCCAGCGCTTGTGGATCTCGACTCGATACAAAATCAGCTACAGTTCAATCAAAAGCTCAGCAAAATAAAAATAAAACATGCTATTAAATGAGATCAAAACCCCTGCATAAAACATATAGTCATTCCTGTTAATTTTTGACAAAATAATATGTTTTGGATTTTAGTCTTAGAAATCCATGTTCTACAATATGAATGTTTGAATCAACGATGATTTTCGATAAGCAAGATGACTATGAAAGTCCTTCAAGACAATTAAAATTGATAATAAAGTCGTTCGCTGATAAATTACTGTTCATCATCAGACTGCATACGAAGCAATGTCGGTGTACAATAATTACAAATAGAGCGTAATCATAGATCGACGGAAGAAAACCACTCCTTATAACTCAATAACCTAAAGGAGAAAAACATCACAGTTTTTTATTTAGCACGATCCTTACATCTTACTTATTACTAATATTATAAATGCGAACATTTATATCGATAGATGGATGTTTGTTAAGGTATCTCCGGAATGGCTCAACGGATCTTGAAAATTGGCACAGATGTTGAACATAGTCCGAAAGAATAAATAGGCTATTTATTAAGTTTTTTTTTAATTCCGCGCGGACAGAGTTGCGGGCGACAGCTAGTAGTATACAGGAAGATAGAATAATATTGAAATCCCATAGTATTTTACCAAGTATATATAATTAGTGTATTCATTTAATTAAATTATTAATAATAAATTAAAATATTTGTTTCAGATCCACATTAATGCTACAAGAACTTCGATGATGAAAAACAATAATAATTTACGGAAGGAAACATCACAAATAGAGTTTAAGTCATTGAGTAAGACGAATTCTATTCTGTTCAAGATTCTTAAATCTTGAACAGAATTGGATAATTTCATTGGACATCTTAATGTCCAATGAAATTATCCAATTCGAACGAATCTGTTAAGTTTTATCTCGAACTAGATCATCCTATCCGTTTCTTTGAATTACAAATTGTCACTTTGTGTCGTGTTGGCTGGTTTACATTATTCCAGTCCAATCGAAATCAGCGCTGGATTACAACAGGAAAAATGTAAACTCACACTGGAATACTATAACTGAATTGTTTTCTAAATCTTTTTGGCATTCTATTAAAAATTATTAAGTATTTATAATCATAATTTTTTTAATCATTTAATCTTTTTTTAGTCTAAGTAACACGCACTGAAGATTGAAAAAATGCCACCGATGAAGTATTGAAAAAAGGTGTCATAGCTGAGAAGACTGAAAACTAAAGGAAGGAAGGAGATATTGGTATATAGGGTTGGGACGCGTTGGCAGTGTGGTTAGCTGGTTGTTTGTAATGTGACAACAGCCACTAACGGCACTGCTTCTGCGTTCACCCTCAGTCGTCTGACTCCACGTCGACATGAGAGAAACGAGCTGCACAACGACGGTGGCTCCATTGCTGTAAGCGGGGAAATCAAGCAACTTTCTTGTAGGAAATTGATAGTACTTGTATGGTTAAAAGTAAATAGACTTGTTATTTCGCAGTCGGGGTCGTTCTGATGTCTTAGACCTATTTACGTTTAAGATAGACCCACAAAGGAACCGAGCTTTTTTTTGTTTTGGTATGTTTTTTTCCCTCATTAACTATATAAACCTTAACACCTTTTGGTCACTCTTTTTATTTGGCAAATACATGTGCAAGTAAAAAAAATTCTCTTCAATCAAAAAAAAATACAAAATTAACTTCGAAAAAAATCTGTAAACCTAATCAAGGTGTCGTTGGCACGTCTTTATCAAGCTGGGTTGTGAAAATAGTGATAAGTGTGAAAATAGCATTATTTAAATCATTGTGCCGTTGCGTTATTTGTCATTGGGACTGAAATAAATGTAACAACATTTTCAGGTGCATTCGCGGGAAGATTGCCAACGCATCAGCTGTGCACGTGTTCAGAGCCATTAATATACGTTACCTTTTTTTAATACATTGCATTTTGTATCTTATTTTCAAGTGTTTAAGATTGATAATTGCACTACATATCTTGCATAATTTTTAAGATTGTTAAATTACTTGGTCTTGTTCAAATAATATTGTTTATAAGAACCTCAACTAAATAGTATGAGTCATGATACCATGACTTGAACCAGGTTGTTCTTTGAGTTTTCACTGTTGAAGCACTTGTGTTTATACAAAGGCTGATTTTTGAAGAACGGAAAAAAGTAAATATCTTTAAAAGGTGTTTCGGCATTGGAATGTCATTTACTAAAAGTATTTATAAAATTAGCTAACCGTTCGTTTCTCCTCAGAAAATCTCCTCCCTCTCCTCTTTGGCCTCCCAAAATCTCTATAAAACATATCGTCATCCCGCTCATTATCTTTGACATAACAGAGATAGCGATATGTTTCAAACACAATAAATACGGTTGGGAAAAACACGAAAGAAAAACTCAAAACGTTCAAAATTTTAATTGTTTATTTTTTTTTACTAATTATAAATAGGTACTTAACCACACTTAAAGAATGATGTTCCATTATGTTCAAAATTACAATCCTGTACAATGTAACTACAACTAAAAAATGCTCTTTTATTACAAAAATATATTTTGTGTTTTTCAAACAGTACGTTACACGGAATTCTTGCACCGTTGCGTTCATCAGGTATAATGAAGTCTGATTATTGCATCAAATGTGTGAAAGATATTCAATGAATTAATCGTAACGACACTCAGAGACATTAAGGGTACTCTTAGTGACTATATGAATTGCCTGCAAAGATCGCTAATTCTTGTGATTAGCAGTTCCAATGTTAATTTTAAATTACTTTATGTACATATTAAATCACTAATGTATTTGTTAAATCGATTTTAATGAACAAGAAAGATTTTTTAGTCATAAAATTTCCTATAGTAAAGAAATTGTGATTAACTAGCGCAAATAAGAAAATACAGATAAGTAAAGAATATTGAAGTGCATTTTAGGTTCTTAGACTTTTATGATTTTTAAAAAAAATTGGAACTTAATTCGTGGTGTGTCATTTATCATGGAAGTTGTCAATGACATTGTCTATGTTATTGTTGGATAATATGTTTTATATTTTATCTGTTCTTTTAATGTTAAAAATTGTCATGATTTTTGAATGCCGTAAAATTTTAATAGCATTTATTTTGTGTAGGTTCTTCGTCAGTGGAGCTGTTTATTGAGCATCTGTTCTGCAAGATGGAGGGAAGCTACAATAATCTGACAAGACGTCTATTAAAAATTACTCATAGCTTCAATTTTTTTTAAATATTTCTGATATAAAAGAATTTTATTTTTATTTACTTCAGTTAATGTTTACTTAAGAATAAATAAGTCACCCGACGACTAAGTCACCTAAAGTTAGAAAATTTCGACTTAAAGAAGCAATTTTTTTACATTACAAATAGTACAAATAAAATTACAATTCACATCAATAAAATTAAAAATTTGGTTATGTGTTTTATTTACACCCGACGATGTCATTAAAAATCAACAGTAAAAGGAAATTAAGTAATTATTTCTATCATAAGACCATTTTATGGGTATCAAGGACTAAAAATGGAGGCTAGAACTTAGCCAATGTTTCCAAAATCATAACAAAACTTGCAGATTACATGTCTAGTTTTGCTTTAGAATAAGAATATCTTAATCCTGTAAAATTTTACTAAGTTTATAAGAAACTACTGAACTCAACTTTGAAATTTACATAATCTCGTAAAATTCATGTATTCGCTAAAGGAAAAGATCAGTAACCTACTTTTATAAAATCAGATAACCATTCTTTACATTACAAAACATTTGATGTTCGATTTTAAATCATAAATTGATTACTGTAGAGTTTATTTCAACAAAGCAAATGAACTCGATAAAATAAAATTTTCCGTCATTTAAGGTTCTAAAAAATTTCTTTTTTTAATAAAGATTGGCAAATTTTTTTGACTATCTACATCAGTGGTTCCCAAACTTATTTTGTCTACTGCCCACTTTGAGAATAAATATTTTTTTAGCGCCCCCATATTTTCACATATTTAAAAACCAATATAACTTCAAATTAATTAATTATTGTGACCTATATATGTATATTTACGGAGAATTATAAACGAAATTTTTACTACAACCGCAACTTGAGACCTGCAGCGCCCACAAGGGAAAGACTGATCTAGAGTATTATAATAGATTTCGATAAAAATGGCAATTGAAACAAAATACGTCAGTACATGTGGTCTCTTATGTTTTTTTAAGTTAACCATAGACCAGATCAATGAGACATAGACTATAAAACCAAAATTAGGTCTATGCTTATGGTTTAAAAAAAATTATAAAACAAATGGGTTGCAATAAAATTGTAAGCAGAACAATAGATAAAATACCTTAATTTTTATTTTATCATTATAATACACGTATTGGACATGTTTAGGCATTTCAAGAGGTAGCAGTTTTCTAGTTCATTCGCAAAGCGCAAACTTCATTCATTGGTTTTATAACTATCTAATAACTTCGACATCTAACCGAATTATTAATCGATTACAAAAATTCACTTTTATAATTTTTCTATCAATTTACATTCGAATAGTGACATTAAAATCAGTGTTATCACCAAAAAAAATTGAAGACATCAAGTGACCGATCAACTCATACACAAGTATCCAATTAACATAGATATCGTAATATTATACCAACAATAACAATAAGTAACAATCATTTCACATTCCAATTCTACCACGATTTAAGAACCATTTTAAATAGCAACACTATACATACCGAAAGAACAATTCAATCGTCAAGAGAGCTTTCTCAGACATTGTAAAATTAATTTAACGATATGTTTTTTGGCAACACTGTTATGACGGACCGCGGGATTTATTTGGACCGATGGGGGCTTAACCCTCTTTTTGGGGGCTTCACTTGACCAAGATTAGTATAAAAATGAAGGTTATAATACATTTTATTTTTCCAGACTTTATGATCTAGATTAGATCCCGTACGCAAATTTATATATTTTAGCCAAAGAATTTAATTTACGTACCATTTATTATTGCTGCTAGATTTAAATTAAAATATATTGCGATAAGTTCCATTTAGTTTATAGCTTTTATATGTATATATGTATTTATTACAGAAAATATATCTTGTCTATGGCGTTTTCTTACACGGGGATGGGTGCGTATAAAAATATCTATAATTTTTACAATGAATCACCTACAATGGTTTCTTCTCGTCCTGTTACAAACTAAGTTACAAACTTAAAACTTAAAGTGCAAAATGTTCACTTAATCTATTTCATTATACGTTAATCTCCCTAAGAGCAGTCGGTTCGAATTGATCTAAAAAAAAGTACAAAGAATAAATAACTAGGGATTAAAAAATATATAATTACAATAACTACATAATGTCTAACGGTATTGTTATATATAATGTTATAAAAGAAAAGTGCAGGTACTGCAAATAGAGAATTAAGCGTATCCGATATTTTTAACATACCTATATAGTATATACTACTCGGGCACCATAACGTGACACTTCAAGACTAACGTCATTTGAACAACTGTATTATTCTACTGTACAAATCCTTAATACGTTGTATACTTTTACAGCAAGAAATACTTTGGAGTATCACGTTATTGTGGTGGCTTAGTATTTTATGTGTGAGGCGGAAAGGATGCGCCACTGTCGCGTGTGTTGACGTCACCACAGCTGTCAAATGCTAAGAAAATCAGCCAGAACTCTACCAATTTAATCCAGATCTAGTATCTTTAGATAAATAAATTTTAACAACATATATGTTGGAAAAAGCCATTTTTTATATATTTTTCTTAATTTACACCATTGAAGGAATTAAAAAAAATTAATGTTCGTATTAGGGATAAGACGCGATATTTTAGATCCAAAATATACAGTATGAAAACTGCAATGACGTCACACACGTACTACTAAATTTATAGACAGGACAATAGTCGCAATCAGACATCATGTTACTATCGTCTACATATTTAGTATTTTACTGTTTATTTAAACTTCCTATTGTCAAATTCTTTAAACATCAGAGTTAAGGAGGATCATAACCACACATTATTTTGGTCCTTCGAGTCAGATATTCAAGTAATTAGTCCAGCAAACTAAGTATGTGATACTTAATTTTGTACAACTGTTAAAGGATGTAGTAATATTCAAATTAATAATAAAATATAGTATAAATGACATAAGAAATTCCAACTAAAATGATTGCATCCTAAATTTATGGAAACGACAATTGTAGAAAAACACTAAAAGACACATGTACAAATAATATTTTGATCAATTAATAAGGAAGATCGCTTACATTGTTTATGGGATCATCATCATCATCAGCTCAATATACGTCCCCACTGAGGGGCTCGGAGCCTACCCTATATTACGGGTGATTAAGCCATAGTCAACCACGCAGTTGGCTTCACACATATCTTTGAATTACTTCTCAGATATGTGCAGGTTGCATCACAATATTTTCCTTCATAGTAAAAACGTCGGATAAATGTACATATGTAAATCGGAAATCGAAAAACACATTGGTACATGGCGGAATTCGAACCCAGGACCTGCAGATTGCAAGCCAAGTGCTTGACCCCTGAGCCACCGACGCTCTTATGAAATAATTATTTGCGAGATTATCTTGACAATTGATTAAAAATTTACTACAGTGTTATAACTAAGACACCAAAATAATTAATAAAATGAACATTAATTTGACGTGTTCAGAAATAATTGAAACCCATAACATACATTTAGGAACACAAACAAAGGAAGTTAAATCTGTAATTTTCAAGCAATTTAGAGACACTAGTGGGATATGTTTTTTGTATACAGATTATGTTTGTGATTGAAATTTAGGATGAAAAAAAAACATTCTTATGCTAAAACTATATCCCTTTCTTTTGTATAAAATGTATTAAATTGCAGTATATGTTTAATTGATTAAATGACAAAGAAATATGAATTTTAACACAACGGCGCAAAGTTCGTTTTAATTATTTCTGTTCCTGTAAAATTACACTACCGAAACATTTAGATAAAAACATGTATTCTTCTATCTTTCTGAAGAAATTTATATTAAATGTTTCGTCAGTGTGAACTTACGATAACATGTTTCCGATTTACTTGAAATTTTCCAATATTAAGACGTATCCCTACTTCAAAATATAATATTGTTAAACTAATCTATTCAAGAGACATCGATTATAAATAGGAACATTTTCATGACATGATAAAAATTAATATTTTAAATTTTATTCACATTTTATTTCAATACAGTCCAAATTCATAAAAAAAACTATGCATATGAAATATGTATTAAGATTTGCAGGCACTTTTTATTGCCAATTTACCGAAAAGTAAAGATTTTTATATGTATACAGTCAGGGCCTTTATCGGTGTTGCACTTTTGGAAAAATTGCTTTGTTTCTTGCAACGGGACAACTCCGCATCGTTTTAAAAATTGGTACCAGTGATATGCGCAAACGACAAGATAATAATAAAAAGCAATTACTGACCTTTGTTTCGTACAGACACATTTAAAAGGTGTTTCTTATTGTTTATTCTTCCCCTATGTCGTCTATATGTGTACTATAAGTTCAAACGACTGTAGATTTAAAAGTGGTACACCGTCAGTTTCCCCGATGGTACATATACGGATGTATTTATGACTTGCCCTTTCCATCGAGAGGTGAAACTTGATCTGTTTGACATAATTTGAAGAGTGTCTATTTGTATATATGTCATAAATAAATGATGAAATAATCAGTCGGTTTTTTTTTGGTTTTTTAAATTAACTATTACTTTTTTAATGCTAGAATCCTTCTTACATTGCGATAAAAATTTAACATGTGTTAGTTTAATATAAAATTATTTATTAACTGAATAGAATTTCAGAGACAATGGATTAACTTTTTTTGTCTTCAAAACTGACAATTTAAATATCGAAATGTATGAAGGTATTCGTTATTTTTTTTTAATTTAAAGTAATTACAATTATTCTATGCGATTGTGTTATTAGATGAGTAGAATAGTATCAAACAATTTAAAATCAATTTAGAAGAATACATTAAATTTTTCATTTAATTGGAAATATTACTAAATTATCATTAAAAAAAAGTAAAATTCGAACTTCAACTTTTAGATTTGTTAACTAAAATTATTATATGAGTTATGAAAAAAAAATGTTTTTTTATTCTAAATTCATTATAATTTCTAACTTTTCTTGGCATATTAAAGCTGTACGTAATAAACGCCCGTGAATTCTGTAATTTTGTAATCACATATCTTATACAACTAACGCCATATCATCACCAACTCTCAAACATTTCACTACCAACAATCAAAACTTCCATACAACCAAACATATATTTGTATAGACTGACCAGAAATATAAAAAAACCCTCACAAAGTTAAGGAAAAATATAGAATTAACTCCTTTGCGCTCCTCCTAACATAAGAAGTGTAATAAAGCCGATTAAAGTGCCTTCAGGGCTGAATTTTTACATTCCTAATTTGGCTAAAGAACTTGAGTATTAAATTGTTAATTAAATATGAGGGTTATACTATAATGTAAAAAGTATTTTACGGCCATCTATTTTTTTTTCGTTGTATGGAAGTGTCGAGTCTATTCCTTACCTACTCTGTGACCTACACAACATCATTCCTACACACGTACACGAAAACTTAAAGCGCGAAGAATCATCGTTTGAGACTACAGATAAGTTTGTTCCTAATTCTTTAGAAAATAGAGCTTATTTTAGCTTAACTTATTATTACAACGTTATGATGGCGCACTTGGTGATAAAGCCACGTTAGGACTGGATTCTGCCATCTGGAAACACAATTATATTGTTACCTGAACTGCTATCCCATTAAAAAAAAACACAAATTAATTATGAAATTATTCAAACTTTCGTGACACATTAATTATAATGTCTCACGAAAGTTTATTAAAACTGATATAAAAACGGCTAAACACTCAGCGACGTGCTCACAGTGAGCTGGGGGCCGCGTCCACGAAATAATAGCAGTCCCACTCATCCTGATGAAGGGCCCCCGATCAGCTCGAAACTAGTCGGTGCCGCCACCGGATGAATATACGTGAGTGTTTAGCCGGCTTATATAAATTTACAAATTAAGCAATTAAATCTTATTAATATTATAAATGCGAATGTTTGGATGTACGGATGTTTGTTGGAAAGTCTCTCCAGAACAGCTTAACAGATCTCGGTGACATTTGGTATAGATGTCTACATCTATGCTCTAGCATAGTCTGATAAGACACATAGGTTACTAATTAAGTTTTTTTTACTAATACTTTTAAATTTTTTAAACTCTCGTGTGTCATTAGCATATAATTTTAAAGCACTATAGTTTAACTACTGAAAGTAATCTAACTTAAAGGCCTTAGTCTAACAGCGTTTCTTTTCAGATATCACTGCTAGATATCTTGTTGAGTTGACTATACTTGATATATAGATATGACTATGTTAGTTGACTTTATTTTCACCTCAATAACTTAGTACAGTCAGTAAATGGTCAAAAGACCAACTGGTCCGTCCATCTAGGCAGCAGACGTGTAAAAAAAAGTAAATAAGCAATCTCTACCTTGGGTTTATTGTGTTCCATCTCTTGAGGGGCGGACGAGTTAACAGTGGCGGGGGCGTGTCCGGGGGCGTTTCCAGAGGTGGGGGCGGGGGCAGCAGGGCTATGTGCAGACGTGGATGACGAGAAGCAGTCTGTGATGGTGTCAAGCGCGCGCTCCGCCAGGCCGCGCTCCTCCAGCACCGCCTCCAGCGCTGCAGCCAGCTCTGAACCCTCGCCGAATGTCGGCACGTCTTCCGCTGTAACATAACTCTTTATGAAACTATTTTTATTGGGATACTAGTGGTCGCCCGCGACTCCGCGCGCAATTAAAAATAAAACATTATTAGTATGTCTAGCTTATGTGTTCTTCCAGACTTTGTTCTATATGTATACCAAATTTCATCAAGATCCGTTCTGCCGTTCTGGATATACCTTCAAACAAACATCCATACATCCATCCATCCATCTAAACTTTTGCATTTATGTTAGTAAGATAATTCACGTCCGTAAGCCGAATCTTCTTTACATCACGACGCCCCCTACAGGATACATACATCCATCAAAGATGGCCATGTATAGGAAGACAAATTCCTTATTATAATCCTGGCACACCAATTCTTCTAGATCCAGACAAACTTTCGTGTCCGTCAAATATTATAATTCTTGTCGATATCACTAATTTACTTTTACTCCTACTAAACTACAATTTTTTTGTACACAGTAATGGCTTAGTGGACATACCTTGGTTAAAAAATTCAGTGAAAGCCTCATCAGGGATCTGACTTAGGACGGATGGATCCAGTATATCATCCGGTGGCACTTGTTCCACTTCTGTAAACCGTCAAACATTATTAAATACTGCCTATATATAGCGGATGACGTCATACATTTCACAAACATAATGTATGTATTGTATGGACATACCCAGTTCATGCGCACTTGAAGCCCTCATATACTCAGTCTCGCTCAGTCCCCCGATCGCCGTGTCCTCAGAACTGTCGTATGCTGACGAGTTCGAACATATATTGATTTCTGTAAATACAAAAATATACAGATAAATAAAAATACATATGAACATCTCATTTTTTATGACAAAACATATTAAGTTGCTATGTTTTTGTATATTAATGCAGACGTAGGCTAAATTGTAAAGCAATAGAATCAGGGACTAAATCAACTAATAGTTTAGAATAGGTTTTATGATATACTAGCGGTCGCCTTCGACTCCGATCACGCGGAATTTAAAAACAAACATAATTAGAAGCCTATATGTTCTTGAAGATATATTCTATATGTATACTAAGTTTCATCGAGATCCGTTCAGCGGTTCTGGAGATACCTTCATACAAACATCTATCAATTCATCTATCTATCCAAACAATCGTATTTATAATATTAGTAGTAGTAATGATTAAGATTGGATAATAAGATTATTTGTTTTTTAAGACGTACAGTAACCTTTATAAAACAAAAAGAGAGAGAGAGAAAAAGAGAGAGAGAGAGAAAGAGACAGAGAGCGAGGTATACCGGTGAGTGAGTGTGCGTGCTGTGGGCGACGCGCCAGCAGACGGCGGCGGCGCTTGGCGCGGCGCGGGGGACGCGGGGCGGCGGGGCAAGCTCGCCGGCGCGCCTTCTGTGGTCGCCACTCGCGGCTCAGTTGCTCGTAGTTATCCTGATAAATATATAATGTTATATACTTTTAATATATTGCACTTTGAATACATAAGTGTATGATAAATTCCGCTTTTAATGTCGTAACAATACTTAACATTCAACAATAATAAAAAAGTAATTACGTAATACATTGAAAATACGTCACTTTTATTCATACATTACACTGGTATATTTATTTTGTTTATACTTACCGGAGATTTCGGAGATTAAAATCTCCATTTAAAACGTATAGTTATATCTGTTTTGTCAAAGATAATGACAGAGATGCCGATATGCTTATACAGAGATTTTGGTCTCAGAAACCCACAGTTAGTATGAGAAATCTCTATAAGTCTCCCTAATTAGTAAGTTGTTTTACTGACTCGTTTCCACGCATGTTCGGTGCATAGCGGCGTCTGATCGTGCAGCGGCAGCAGCGGCTGCTTGCAGCGGTCACCGCCGGCGAACACAGCCGCGCACGCTGCGTACAGCCGCTGCGAGGGCGCCAGTGTCACGTGCGCAAAGCAATGCCGTGCGCACGGCAGCGCCCCCTGCGCGCACTTCTCCTCGCTGCACACCCCGCACTCGCTACCCTTCCGCCCGCTCTCACCCCCACACCACCCAGATTCACTATATGATCCAATATTATTAGCAGTTGAACGCAACTTCATTAGGGAAGAATAAAAAAAAACATCCTATTATATACCCGCGTGCAACAACTACCTTTAAGTCGAAGTCCCGTCAAAATCGGTCAAGCACGGCCTTGCACAGATGAACATTTTTTTTTCCTTACCAAAAACTAACAATGAAATGGCCACTATATATAGATTCTGGTGTTTGTAGATCGGAATTAAATTTCGTAAAATAAATGATTCTTTGACCTATCAGTCAATTGACTTTTAAACTATGACTTGATCAAAAATGATGTAAGGTAAATCTCAATAAAAGTGACGTACCGTAGTTTCCTTCTATCTTCTGAGGATAGTACATTGTGCAAGCCGCGCATTGCCAGCAAGTGGTTCACAGTCTGTGTTGGAAGACGGCATGTCGAAGATTCGCTCAATTGTTTCTATATAAAAACATAATACTTTTTAAAATCAACTTTATTACACAATTTGCTAACAAATGTGGGAATCACAGAGAATACTAATTAAATAAAGTCTTCTTTAACTCATATATTTCTTTTGAAATCGTAAAGAACTTTTTCAAAAACATCACTCTTACATTTTCTTCACGATTACTCGAATGTCAAAAAACATGGCCGTCATTCAGACGAGCAATTTCAATACTTTTATTTTACGATAACGAAATACTGTTAGATTATTAAAATGATAAGTTGAATACTTCTATTTTATATTTGAGAATCAAATATTTAAATAATCTGTTGGATCGTAATCTGATTTTGTTATTTTAAAATAAACAAAAGTGTCATTGACTTATATCATAGACTAAATAATGTTTTAGGTTATGGAATTACAGATTATATAAAATGGCAAACACAAATAATACGTAAAATAAGTATTTTTTAAACTAGAATTTTTTATTACATTAAACACAGATTACAAAATAGATCTTTACAGACTGTTTTCTTGGGTACACTAAAATTACTTATTATTGTACTTTCCAAACATACCTAAAATCTAAATATTTGTGCCGAACCACAACATAATTTCATAACAAAAACTTACTGCTACATTAATACTAAATATAGTAGGGGAAAACGCTAAGAGACAGCATAAGTAAACATTAAACGGCACTTAGTAATATATATTAACCTACCTTGATAAGTGTGGCTAGCGCGCGTTGTTCACTGTAGTCTACTGGACGTAGCTCCGCCGCCCGCGCTATATGTCGCTTGAGCGCAGCCCGACGTAACGCTAAACGAGCGCTACGGGACTCCGCCGCACTCTCCTCCACACACACAGGGCCCCAGCTTACATCTTCAAATAAAATCTTAACTATAGTTTAACCTAGCGATTATTGAACTCTGAGTTGGTAATAACATTTAGTTGGTATAGCCTCGCAAGGATCAAGCAGTTTTTTGACATTGACATCGGTCACCTACAAGCTTTAAGTGTAAACAGTATGCAAAAAGTTCTGAATAACGTCCATTTTGCAACTTTAAGTTATTGATTTAAAACTTTGAATTCTCATAGTAATTCCTTACTATTTAAATAGATACATTGTAAGACAAATTAACCTACATGTCTAACATTATGTGTTTTATTTGTATGGAATTTAGAAATTACTAGCTGTCGCCCGCGATTCCGTCCGCGTGTTTGTCTAAAAAATAAAAATTTTGGGGCGGACTACCCTTAACATTTAGGGGGATGAAAAATAGATGTTGACCGATTCTCAGTACGCTCACAAAATTTCATGAGAATCGGTCAAGCCGTTTCGGAGGAGTATGGGAACGAAAATAGTGACACGAGAATTTTATATATAAGATATAAATGGCAACATTTAACCGAGCAGCTACCACTCTCTGATTGATCAAATTAAATTGTTAGTTGACATATTTTCCGATTGCAACAAGATCTTTATCAAACTACAACACTGATAATATTATACTCACCCTATATGTTCACTTTAATACATAATTTGTTGTATATTAAAATATTGGAATTCGCAACAACAAATATTTATCCTATTTGAACTTTAGCCCAGTACAGTCGTAAAAATTATAGAAATTCCTTGATCCTAGTATTTAAGTCTAAATAATCGCATTTAAATAGTCTAAAATTTTTATCAAAATGTGTGTGTAATTTGTAAGTAGTAACATACCTAAATCTGGGATATCATCATCGCTACTGCTAGTCTCAACCTGTCTAAATGCATTTGCCTTTTTCTCATCTAACGGACCACATTGGAATAATTCTTCACCGGGTGCATGCCATGATGTATTCGCGAGAGCTATTACTTTATTCTGTGCGGGTATCCGTTGCAAAGCTTCATGGACCGTTGGCCCTCGTCCACGTTTTGCTTTTGTTGAAGGTGTTTTTGCTAAAAAGTAAAAAAATTATAATGACTAATTTCATAACAAAGAACAGATTTAATACTGTTTTTCCTTATTTGTATGAAACAAAATTAATAGTTTCCTTAATTATCATTCACATACAGAGTTGTAGTAAAAACTAAAAAAAATAATTAAGCTTGTGAGGTACATGACATACCGTAATAAAATAAAGTTGGTTTTATAATATATAAACACTAACTGTCGCCCGTGACTTCGTCCACGCAGAATCTAAAAAATCTTATTAAGTAGCCTATACATTCATCAAGACTATGTTCTACATCTATGCCAATTTCAGCAAGACCCATTGAGCCGTTCCATACCTACCTTCAAACAAACATCCATCCATCCATCTAAACATTCACATTTATAATATAAGTATGAAGCATGATGATAATTTTTAAGAAATTACATATATAAAGTAAAACTTACGCGCTGGTGGTTTTTTGATTGGTGCTGCTGGGACTTTTATAGTTGATATTGGAACGGGTTCAGTTTTTATAACAGTTGCTGGAGTTTCTACAACTCCATGTTCCCTTTTGAAGACATCAAGAAAAGTTTCTGGCGCTGACAACTTTGTATTTGATACGGACTTAACATTGCTTGAATTAACACTATTAATACTGACTTTAACATTGTGGGAAGGGGAGCTGACATTATTTATAACTTTTATATTATTGATGCTAGGTCGATTTTCTGTGACGATGCTGTTCCTTGCGTCTAAATTAATATTATTCTGTACCTTAGTATTCTGGACTTTGGTATTAACATTCTTACCATCTGTTAAATTAACATGAATTTTATTTTTTATAGGATAATGTCCATTAACAGTTTCTTTCTTTGTTTCAACTATCTCTTCTTTAATATCACCGTTTGTGAGAACACCAATCAAGTCCAAATCTTTGTTGGGACTTTCAAGAAACTTACTTTTTATATCAATGTTATCGGAGAAAATAAAATTATCTTCAGTGTGACTCACAGTAATTTCGCTAGCAATAACATCAGAATCATGAAATGTATAAAGGTCGTTGGGATCAATTTTAAATTTACTATGAAAGAAATTATCACTGAGATGTGGTATATATGTCTGTTCATCACCCGAACTGTCATGTATAAACATATTTACTTCACTACCACAGTTTCCCGATACTCCCTCAACTGCCATTTTGTACTGTGATGCGCAACTTGCATCTGATATGTTTTGGGGGATACTGCTGAAACTGAAATTAAAAATATTCATACAAACAACCGGAATCTTAAACTTAGTTGTTTTGGGTATTATCATCTATACAAACAAAACTTACCCCACATTTTCTGAAGTACTCAAATAAGACATGCTGTGTTCATTTTACAACCTTAACATGTAGATAATTGTAATTGGGAAAATGCAACTTGAAAAAATTGGTCCCTCTGTTTCATACTATAAAACAACCAGTACAATTTTATTATTGTTTTTAAATAACAAAAAACATGTATGATAAGAATTTTTATACAATGACAATTAATCTGACAGCTGTCAAAAATACAAATAATTATATTTTCGTAAAAAAAGAGAAGTAATTCGGAGAAACGTTGCTATTAGTATAATTCTATTAGTCATTAATTGATTGTCCCACCAAAACAAAGCGAGTATACTAATATTAAGATTCTTTTACAGAATAACGTAGAGTTCTCTTACATTACAATTAGGATGATTCACGAAACATCTTGCGCTAAATCTTATCCAATCTAATTAAATATCACAACTTTATGCTTATTTATTCTAATTAACACAATTCGGTTCAATATAAAGACCTTATTTTAAACAAACTTTTATTCAATAACATCAACGAATGACAGAATACACCAAATGGCAAGCTGCATGAACGCGGTGCGTTCAAGTTAAGGGATAAGAATGTTTTGAGTTTTGAAGAATGCCTTATTATTTTTTCAGTATTAAAATATTTGTTCTACATCGTTTCGTTTTATATTTAGTATAAAATGAATAATTCTCACTCTCAAAAATTCTGTAGTTTAAGTTTAATCCAAAGAGTATATAAAATAATCTAGTAAAGTTACCAGAATGATTGTCTAGTTAAAGACGGAGTTATTAGAAATGTTTTTATCCCAAATGATTTGCCTTAGAAGCAATCATTACGAATGGGCTTAATTTTGTCTTTCTTGAACACCATTGTATTGTATTTCTGAATGCTTCTTTTTTAATTTTTACACCAAAAATGATGGGCAAAAAATTATAACGAATGTATTTTAGAAAGTACACTTTGACACTTTTTTTACTATGGCAGTTTTTAAATTGTCATAAAAACGAGTCTTCATTGGCTCGCTGTGATTAATGGCAATTCCTATTGGCTCAAGTAAACTTACATAGTTGCCATTTTTTTTAATTTCCAACTCTATATTTTCCGAAAATTTTCCTTAGAGTTTTATAACTTAAATGAAGACTGAATTTTTGTTTTCCAAGTTATTCCTTAATTAAAGTCTGATACTAAAGTTATAAGAATAAAAGTGTCGCAACTTTCCACTATTTTATAAATTATCTCACTTTACAATTTGAAATTGCCGCTCTTCTAAATTCGATTTGAGAACCCCGTTTTCGAAGCGTTGTTGTGAATCCAATATGGCGAAATCTGATGTTGTACTATTTTGAAGGTACGTCAATAGGACGATTCTGTAATGTGTAATCCGGTAAATACACTGTTTTTGGAAACATAACAACATACTTGAATGTATGTCATATGAGTTTGTGTTATTATTTGTGTGCTTAAAGTGCAGTGAAAGGTTTACGATTGTATTGTTTTGTTTGTGATTTCCGATAATTCAGCGACCCATTGTCATGTGAAGTTAAAAATCCTTTCTAAATAATCCAAAAGTGTCCTTAAGCATGTTAACGTCTTGAGTATGGAAAGATGAAGTTAGTGCCAAATTCACGTTGTAAAGCACCACCTTATTACATGACTGATTTTAATTACAGCAATTAGCCACCCGATATGAATATATTTTATAGTTTGTTTTATAATAGTATGTTTTGTTACAGAAGTGCACATGATTTCTTACAAATGGGAGTTAAATGAAACAAAAATCGGGTGCATTATATTAGCGCCATAATACTTGATTTATTATTCGAATATATAGTCATAGTTACGTTGACTATCATGACAGATACTCGACGAAGAGTGAAGCTTTACGCTCTGAACGCCGACCGGCAATGGGATGATAGAGGAACCGGTCATGTATCATCATGTTACGTAGAAAAGTTGAAAGGTACTTCATTATTAGTGAGGGCAGAGTCAGATGGTTCCCTTCTTTTAGAAAGTAAAATACAACCGGACACAGCTTACCAAAAGCAGCAAGACACATTGATTGTATGGTCAGAAGGAGACAATTTCGACTTAGCACTCAGTTTCCAAGAAAAGGCTGGTTGTGATGAAATATGGGAGAAAATTTGCCAGGTATAGTTTATCTACTTATCAATTATTATTTATTTTTTAATTCTGTAATAGTTAATGCATTGCTATTGAATCTGTATAAATATACATTTTTTTAGTAACACTAACTAACCTCACCTAACCTAAATTACTGTTGACATACCTAAGTAAGCCTAATGTTACTGTTTACAAACAAATTTTTAAAATAAAATTATTATTTTATAAAGCTAAGAAGTAAACAATAGTTAATATTTATTTGGATAATTTTAGGTTCAAGGAAAAGACCCATCAGTAGAAATTACACAGGACATTGTGGAGGAATCGGAAGATGAACGCTTTGATGAGATGTCAGATAGTGTTCAGCCAGTTGAACTTCCAGCTTGTGAGATGGGGCGCCTTGAAGACATCAGTGAACTAGTTAACAGTTGTTTAGTCTCACCAGCAAGAAAGGACAAATTAGCAGCAGCACTAGAAAGTCAGCATTATATCAAAAAACTTTTAAATCTTTTTCGTATGTGTGAAGATATTGAAAACATTGAAGGCTTGCATCATCTTTTCGAAATTTTCAAAAGTATATTTCTTCTAAATAAAAACACTCTTTTTGATACAATGTTTGCAGATGATACTATTTTTGATGTTGTTGGTTGTCTTGAATATGACCCAAGTTTGCCAACACCGAAAAAGCACAGAGAATACTTGAAAGAGTTAGCTAAATTTCGTGAGGCCATTCCTATAAAAAATCAAGATTTATTAGCAAAAATTCATCAAACATACAGAGTACAGTATATTCAGGACATCGTCCTACCTACACCTACAGTTTTTGAGGACAATTTGCTAAGCACATTGTCGAGTTTTATATTTTTTAATAAGGTTGAAATAGTGAAACTTATAGAGGATGATGACAAGTATTTAACAGATTTGTTTAAGTTACTAATGGATAGTAAGACGCCAGATTCAAAAAGAAGGGATTTGGTACTATTTTTAAAAGAATTTTGTAATTTTTCACAAAACTTACAGCCGCAAGATAAAGATGCTTTTTATAAGACTTTAGTTACATTGGGTATCCTGCCAGCGTTAGAGATAACATTAAGTATAGATGATCAAAAGACGAAGACTGCCTCTATAGATATCTTGACGTACATTGTTGAGTTCTCACCATCTGTTGTCAGGGATTACACATTACAACAAGCAAACAATACAGAAGAGGTAAGAACAATATAGAGCTTTTCCTGCACATAAAAAGTATTTTTTACAAATATTTAACTAAGTACATATCTTGTTTGAATAATTCAGTTGTAATAAATGTCTCGTTTAAAAAGTTCGCAGATGTTCTAAGTTACTCTTACTCGTTTTCAGGAGCAAATGTTGTTAAACATAGTAATAGAGCAAATGTTAAGAGACAGAGATCCAGAACTAGGAGGTGCGGTACAGTTAATGGGTGTGCTCCGTATCCTCCTGGACCCAGAAAGTATGCTTGCTTCAGTCAACAAGAGTGAAAAAGCAGATTTTCTAAATTTATTCTATAAGCACAGTATACAAACACTAATAGGTAAGAAATACACACTACTTTAGTTTACTTTAAACTTCTGTTTTTAGTATAGGAAGATTTATGCAAAAACATACTGTCATCTCTCATTCTCCTTTGTAAAAAACTTACTAGTGGCATTTTTTTTTAAATTTTATTATTATTTTAAGTAAAGAAGTATGAAAAAACATGAGTTAATATTAAAAGCCTGTTAAAATTTTTGATATAACCTTCATATTAGAATTTAGAGATGACCAATATTATAGTTGACTCGAGGTTGTCCGCCACTTCGTCAGTATTAAAAAAATGTAGTCATGCACATCTGCTACCTTCTCGTCAAAATCGGTTTACCCGTTCTGGAGATTACCCGGAACGAGCGCGGCCTTACAGACAATAGTTTAAAAGATTTGTTTTTTAATGTTTTTTCGCTATATTACATACAGACACTTCTATTTTATTAATAAGTATAGATTTTTTGAACAATAATATATAATTTCCAGCACCCTTACTGGTAAACACGACAGGTGAGAAGCCAATTAGAGAAGACTATCATACAGTGCAACTATTGGGCCTTGTGCTCGAGCTTCTTGCGTTTTGTGTAGAACATCACACATATCATATCAAAACTTGCATATTAAATAAGGTAAGCGCAAAAATATAACACCATTTACTCCTATCAATATTAGCCCAGTTTGAAATTGAGATAAATTACTTGAAGGTTTTCAAATACCTTTGCGGTCTGGAGCAGCTTGTCATTAGTTGTTGTGCAGAATACATTTTCGGTGCCATAGGATGTGTAGGAACGCAAAGGGAAGACACTGTCTAATTGACCTTTAGCTAGGGTAAAAATATTGAATGCCTAGAACTAGAACTCTCAAAAAACTGGGAACACATTTGAGTTCCATTGGAGTCAGTTGAATTTTTTGACCACTTTGCTCTACATTCAAAATTCAGAGAAGAAACACAAAATTGTGCATTGGTTGTATTTGCACTAGTCCCTGATACATTATACTACGAAAAGTACCAATGCTTTAACCTATTATGAGTAAAAGAAAATAATTTAAAAACTGCATATTGATATTACTGCCATCATCCAGTCTAGTCATCTTGTCGTAATTATGTTTAATGCAATATTTCTAGGATCTACTTCGTCGCATTTTGGTGCTAATGCGATCAACACACACCTTTTTGGTGCTCGGAGCTTTGAGGTTTATGAGGAGAATAATAGCACTCAAAGATGAGTACTACAACAGATATATCATAAAGGGAAATCTTTTTGCACCCGTTATAGATGCTTTTCTTAGAAATAATGGCAGGTAAGTAATAATATCTTACATCTAAATATATATTATACCTAGAATGTAGAAAATTGAATAGATAAAACTTATATATAGAAAAATCAATTGCTGTTCATTAATCTCGCTAAAAGTCGAGAACCCCTGAACGGATTGATCTTATCTTGGTTTTGAAATGTTCGTGGAGATCGAGGGAAGGTTTAAAAGGTGAGAAAAATTCGAACAATTGCCCTATAGGAACATTTTTTTAAATACCGCGCTGACGGAGTTGCGGGCGACAGCTAGTTGTTGATTTAAATTTGCAAATTAATCAGTTTATTGGTATATTTAAATATTTCCATAATAAACAGTACTAGTGAATAAAAACTAACTTAAAATAATATGGAGAAAATTGCCAAATTTCAACAAGATCCGATCCATGCAGCTGTTCTATTAATCTAATATTAGTAAGATTGTTCTTATGATACATTTTAGTTTTATAATATTCCAGGTACAACTTATTAGATTCAGCTATTTTAGAATTATTTGAGTTCATAAAGTTAGAAGACATAAAGTCGCTGTGTTCTCATGTTGTGGAAAACTATGGCAAGATCCTAGAGGATGTTGAATACGTACAAACATTTAAAGCTTTAAAGACCCGATATGACCAACATCAGGACAAGCTAAAAGAAAGGGACAGAGGTAAGTTGGTTACAAAATATTAAAAACAAAGAATTAGCAAAATCTACACTGAAAGGTAGCACATTAAATTAACATTTAGAAAGCTGACCTGAAACTTTTTGGAATAAAGTCTAGAATAGACAAATAAACGGTCCACGACTGTTGCAAAAATATAGTATGTGGCCTAACGCTCTACTATGACGTCATGTGACGGCTAATCGCGACCTCTTGTCTAGGGGTCGTGTAATGACGTCATTCAATGTGTCTTTTGTAGTGAGCGGCAGTGTGGGTGTAGCGGAGGCGGTGGTGCCGTCGTTGCTGCGCACGCGCTACCGACGCGAGGCGCGTACTCCTGATGACGAGGAGGAGATGTGGTTCAACGACGAAGACGACCTTGACGACGACGCTCCACTCGACGCCGCCCAGCATCCAAACACGCATCACGCACTCGACGCAATCGGTCAGTACATATACCAAAACATAATCAGAATTATTATTTTATTATAAGGATAGGGCGGCAAGGGGTTAGTGTCTTTGACAGAAGAAGCATAGGAAGGGGAAACATTATATTTCTTTGTGTCCCCTCTTCCATTGATTAAATTGCAATTGCGGATGTCCTATAAGCCGTGGTCACTTTCCTGTTTCGGCGAATTCAGGTAGAGGCTTGCTATTTTGCCACATAATAATATAAACAAAGAGAATTGCTAAAAATAACTACTATGATAATGAAACATGAGCCATACTCACAAAGTAGTCAGCAGCTGATAAATGTAGATTATATTATCGTTTTATATGGGTTAATGCAACTTACAACTTGAAGTTTAAACATATTTGGCCAGTGATAATGTATTATTATAGGAAACAATCCCATAATAAATGTGTCGGATTGATTAGTCATGAGATTAGAACATGTGATGTAAGCTATCAGATAAGACTTGCATAGACCTTGACAGAGGCCTTTCAGATTACGATGATAGAGTAAGATAAGATAATCCAGCACACATCAACATCATTAAGGTTTTTGATTGAATACATACAAAAATCAAAATTGCAATGAGTTTTGTTGAAGAAAGTGCTTAAACCTGCAACATGTTGTGATGTCTATAGCTTTCAAATCGAAAAAAGTAGGGTAGTTATTATGTTAATTTTTTATCAGTGTAATTTTTGACAGGTCAAGGTCACTACCTCTCTATACCTCTTCACACCTGAAAGTTCTAAGCCTGTCTGTTGGTTTCTGAGACCAACATCTCCGTTTAAAATATATTGTTATCTCTGTTATGTCAAAGATATTGATAAGGATGACAATATGTATTAACAATTTTAGGTCTCAGAAACAAACAGTTAAAGTTTTATTTAATTTATGAGAAAGACTTAGCGCGAAAAATGATTAAGTCATGGCTATGCAAACAGTAGTAGGATAGTACAGCACAATCGTTAGTAAATAACATTTTTTGATTATTGCAGGTAAAATAGTTGAGAAGAAAGTGTGTACGAACGCGGAGACGGTGAACGGTCCGGGGCGCGTTCTGTTGACGGCCGCGGTCAGCAAGCCGCCGCACCCAGATGTTCAGGTATCCTCGTCCAGATTACTCAATAAGGTAAACTTTTAGTTCCCTCTCCTTCTCTACTCTACACTATTCTGTAACCTGGGGATTCGACTTTACTATAAATGGAATGTATATATTAATTTAATCAGAATAAAATAACATTGAATTATTTATTTCAACTGATTATAATACTTTAAAATTGGATGAAAGCTAGAGATAGTATAGACGAACAACATGCAAACTTGTATGCAAAAAACCTGCCTTATTCTTCTGAAATATCTCGTAGTTGTGCAAACTTTAACTTTGTTTTTTTTAAATCATGAGGAAGACTAAAAAATATAGTAAACCTTCATGTATTAAATATCGTTATTTTTAAATAAGTCAATGTGATTTTGTTCTGATTTATTGGTTTGACCTTGGAATGTGTTGTGTGCACTAAATGTCAGTGAGGTGAATTAAATCATCGACTTGAATGGTGTTTATACATGTGTGGTTTAAATATAATGAAATAAATTTCAACAGTATTTTTGCATGATTGATGTGTATTATAGTTAAACAAGGATATCTGACCAGAGAGTAGCGCTGCTATTGCAGTTAGGTCTGTTAGAAAGTGTGTAAAAAATACATAGCTATAGAAAATATAAAAGAATCTGTAAGCTATCATAATTTAGTTTGACTTATGCCCGTCAGGTCAGATATCCTTAACGGTTTTGTTGTTACACTTTTTGACATTAACAGAAGACCATTGCATGTTCTATGAATACTACTTTGGTGTGATGCGTGTTTTTTTTAGTAAAACATATCTTTTAACAGCTGATATGTGCTGTGTGTGTCTAAATAACTCTGATTGAATCAATTTTTTTCTAAATAAATGTGTTGTAGAAAACATTACTTAAAATAATATATATTGAGGTGTATATTTGTCTAATTGAAAGGATTATCATATTTTTTTAAAAAACAAACTCCATTTACTTTAAAGAAAAATATTTAATTAATACTATATAGTAAATCATCAATAATGTTTATTTTGAAAGTTTCTATTTGTGTGAGCGTTGAATGTGTTGTAGTTAATTGTTTTGTTAGAAATTTTGATGTTTGATGTTATCATAAACGATATAGGAACAATTTGTGTAATGCAATATGTATTGCAGGGTTTGGTTGACTACGACGGCGACTCAGACGAAGAGGAGGATGGAGGCGGGGGCGGGGGTGGGGGCGGTGGTAGCGGCAGTGGGGGCGGGGCGAGCGCGGGGGGCGGGGCCGGTGCGGGCGCCAGTGAGGAGCGCGACGCCAAGCGGCCCCGCCTCGCGTAGTGCCACCTACACTTTCAAGGAATATAAAGTCGTCCGTCTCGCTAGCTGTGCACCAAGTCCCGATGAGTGAAATGCTGTAAGAAAAAAACATTTTTACACTGATGCAGCCTGAGATTTTATGTGTTTGGATATTATATATGAACCAATATACGCTTTAATGGCAGCAACTAAAATTTTATACTACAAATGTAACCCAAAAATCAAATTTTGTATTACAAGTTCCTTTGGTCTAATGGATTTATAAGCTACAGTGATCACTTTACGGGTTACCTGTTTCTTATCTATTCCATTAAAAAACTAAAAGAAATCATTATATTTGAGCATATTACTATATTTAGTTACATAAAATCTCAAGCTGAAAGGAAAATATTAAATTGTAGTTGTAGATATGTATTGTCCGATTAGCTGAGTTGTCCTTTTTTGTGTAAATAAGTGACCCGGGTTGTCTCAGCTCCGACACGTGAAATATTGTGTTACAGATTGACATGGGAACGTAGAACAAATTTTACATTATATATGAGTGAAATGTAAGAATTTTAAACGGTTAGGTTAGTTATCTGCGGGAACGTAATCACAAAAAAAGTACAAAAAGATTTTTCGAATGTGGTTTTTTATAATGTTATAAATAATGATGTAATGAAATAACACCGTGGATCGGAATGTAAAAATGTGTATGTATTTGTGTTGATATTGAATAAAAAAAAAATATTTAATTTGTCGACAGACACGTGACCAATTTTTTTAAAGTATTATATTCTACATAGCGCTGTGGAATTGCTACTCAGTAGTGTGTATTTTTGTATATCTATTAACTCACAAATTAATTTTGCTTTATGATTTCTGTCTGTTAGTAAATTTTAAGTTTTTTTTACGTGTTTTGTTTAATTATATAAATAGTTTTGATTTGTCTATGACACAAGCATGATTGTGATAAGCTATAGTTTCGGGTCATTCGTATTATTTATTTTGCAACACATCTGCATTCCTATTCCTGTATTGAGCTTCTGAGAGATAAAGAACTCATCAGATTTTTTCAATTTATTTTTTATAGGATTTTTTTTAATACCAGCATATAAAGTTATTTTTTTACTTGTAAACAGTACTTCTTCACTCACAAAATTTAAACAAAAAAAAATCTTGTAATCGGAAAGGTTTTTTTATTATTCACAACAATCATTTTGTACATCGTTAATTTTATAACAAAAATGACACGTAGCTTCAAGCAATAAAAAATCTTTTTTTTTTTTTTTTGTAAAAATATTTTTTTGACATTTTTCGAAAATATTTGTTTTCGAAAAATGTCGAATAGTATTTTTCATATGAATGTAAAAATATCTCGTCAGTATTATGATTTTGTTATTGTTTTTCGTCTCTCCAAGAAGCTCAAACAATTATATGGATAGCTTTTTATTGCTTTATTTTTTACGGATGCATTCAGATGTGGATCTCTTTGATTTTAAATAAAAAAAATAACTATACCTGCAAAAAAAAAACATCTTCAACACGTTAAGTGCCGCTGAATCGTTTTGCGTGTTCTCTTACGCAAAAAAATGCATTCTACTACAGGGATCCACACCTTTATGCTATGATGTAGATGCCATGAAGAGCACGTGCTTCTATTATTAAAAGAAAAATCTTATATTTTTCCCTTCTATTGTCATATACATTTTACAGACGACTTTGCATCATCAAACTGCAGAAGTATAATTGTGATAGTTAACTGATTTTTTTTATTAAATATCCGTTAATTTTTTATCGTATTACGTAACTGTATTTGTACATAAAATGAGACTTATCACAATGCAGTCGAACCTGGATAAGCAAAAAAGCCCTAGAGGGACAGTCATTGTCCTGGCACTTGACTTCCATAAGCGAGAACCTCGAGTTAGAAATAAAGTTCTTAAAGCTAGATATATCGCGGTCAGGTTTGAGTGTATTTAAATTTTGCTTCCGATTGAAGGTTTTTTCAATATGAATAATAAAAGCGAGATAGATTAGAGGCTAAGCATCCGTGCGCGGAAAGCTGTTGAATATAGATTTTTTTTAATTAATTTGCATGAAAAATTAAACAATGCACAATTATATTCGGAAATTAATTAAATTTTTGGATTACGTAACTTTTTGTAAAGATGAAAGCATTGGTATGTGTATTTAACAAATCCAGTGCAACTTGCCTGGTAATTACAAAAGTGGCATTAAACGTGTTACGTGTTATGTGTTTAGCTTCCATTAAAAAATACTGATTTGCTTTTATTGATTTAATGCATACAGCTTGTAAATTGTGTAAGTATTAGTTAAATCTTTCGCTTTTTAATGCTTCTATCATTCACCTTTGAACGGTTGGTTTAAGATTACTGTCTTTGTAATTTTTAATCAGATCTTTGACATTGCTATATCAGAAAGATGTTTTTTTTTTAAACTCATTGATATTGTGGGTATAAACTGCTTTTATAGTAGTTCGTCTTTGTAGTGAAATTTACATTTGCGTGTTACTTTAGCAAAAAAAGAACATTTACATCGTTTTTAAAACAGATGAGCTAATTTTAACTATGACGTTTAAATGAGCATTCCTAAGCTCTACAAAAAGTATACGCGGGATTACCATCTGCTCATTTACTCTTTTGTTTTTAAGATTTTTCTGTGATTTTTTTTATTAAACGGTTGTTGATGTATTAGCTTACCACCAATCAAAGCCTAACCGTTATGCCCCAAAGCGAATGTGTCTACTCTATGAATACATATCAATTTTTATACATCTGAATAAATCATTAATGATCTCACGATATTTAGATATAATCATTTGTGGTATCCATCCAACAATAAAAATCTAAGACCAATAAATTAGATAAAAAATGATAATTGGATGTTATTGGCGTTTTGTTTCTTTTTAAACACTCTTCCCTGTCTCTAAATGTTCTTACAAGGAAGGTTTTGTAAGGATTCGTGGATTTTTCAGAAGAGGGGACGTATAGGAAGAGGAAATATCCTCTTTTTATGCGGCCCTTCCTCTGTCGATTAAAAGGCGTCGCAAATGAAAATGCAGATCTATGACAACGGTCACTTTGCTTTTGCCTAAGGCCACTTCTCGTTTGTCACCTTTTGCTATAAAAATGCATCTATAAACAAACCTATAAATAATTGGAATTAGTGTCTTAAAGCCAATAGATTCTGGACCATATTTGCTTCGTACCAAGGTTTACGGTGGTTTTTAGATTTTATAATAGAAACACGTGCTTGCTATATTATACGCGGGATAAGTCGATATATTTGTATTTCTGTTTCAAGTTATTGCGATGAAAAAAGGATACATATACGATGAATTTACATAAAGATCCCTTGGTGTCTGAGTGAAGAACATCAGTCTGTCTGGATGCCACGATCTTTGTGCCAATTCATGAGCCAAGATAAGGGCAAGTAATGGTTAACTATTTTGGCTGATAAAACACAATAATAATTTATATTCTACCCCTATTTGGTTAAAAACGTTGTGCGATATTTGTTTTATTTATTTATTTTCTGTGACGTGATTTTTAAATATAACGTGTAATATGGACGTCATGACGTAACGGATGCACAGTGTAGGCGAGGCGTTTATTACATACGTGGAATGTATTTGTGAGAGATATTGTAAATATATAATGTTTTATGTGTAATAACTTTATTTTGAGGTCTGCAAATGTCCACGTGTATAATAATACAACACAATAGCAGTCAATTAGATTTTTAAAGAATCTTATATTCCTTGAAATAACTTCCTCCCCCCAGATAATACGTTCTAGATAAAAGTAGACTGTAACGATGACTATTTTTTATCTGTCTAGGTGGATGACCATCATAAACTAATTTATACACAGATTAAAATTAAAAAAATAGATTTACCTATTGGCAAGTTGTGTAAAATAAATAAGCTTACTATAATGCTATTATTATTGTCACTAGTTAAGTAAGCAATATAAATATAAGGTAATACGAAACACTTGTTTTTTTTATTTCACATTACCATATTCATGAAGATTAGAAGATAGAACAGAAAAGGTAGAACCAAAGAGATAGACCATAGACATATTAACAATTTACGTTAAAGTTCGTAAATAATAAATATCTCTGGTGAAACATTTAGACAATATCAATTCAAAGTCAAATATCGAAAGGACCGTTATGTATAATTTGACGTGATAGTCAGAGACTGAATATAGGATTAATGAATTTATAATTCAGATCTTGAAATATTCTAAAAGTAATAATATTACCAACACTTGGAGCTATTATCATTTATTAAGACATCGTTAAATTACAAGTACATTACTGAATAAGAATAATTATTTGCTTAGACAAATTCTAAAGTCAAACATAACATATGCAATTATTACTCCTTTCAAATATCTTGGCGGCCCAAGGTCATTACGCAATGCAATGCCCTCCCCCCATCCCGCTACACCTAAATTTTGTGCGCAGCGACACGTGTTAAGAGCCACCAAGATATCTGAAAACAGTAATAATAATTTAGTTGTGAATATCGACGACTTCTGCCTTTAACTTAGAGGCGAGAGCCCGGCGCAGCTGCATAGCGTCGGGCGGTGGCTGCGGCGTGCTGCCCTTGAGCGCTGCCTGTGCCGCGCGAGCTGAACAAGGCCTCTGAAACCTGCTGCCTTCGCCTGTTGTATATTGTCAAGTTTTAGAAGATACACTCCATGTTTAGATAAAAAAGATTTAAGAATAGTGCTATTTTCTCAGTACCATAATTTAGGCTGTTTTTTTATGTAAGATGGATTAAAACGAGAAAGTTGGTCTATCTAATGTTAAGAAATCACTGCTTACAATGTCAAAAACATTCCCAGGAATTCTATAAAATATGCTTCAACATCATCAGACTATTTGCAAGGTGGGATCAAAGAGTAGAAATATAGTTAATTGTTCTTTTAAGTAAAGGGTAAATTAACTAGGTAAAGTACCTCCTAATTCTGTTGGTGTCTCGGCGGCTCCGAGTTGTTTCTCACGAACTTGTTTTTTGAGTGCCAACAACTTATCTCTCTGCTGTTTGAGGTATTCCTGTCGAGCTCGGACATCTTCCTCGCTTACCTAAAACATTGTTGCGCATTATATTGCGTTTTTTTAAATTTAATAAAAAAAAACATACATACTTCTACTTTTTGAACAGTAATAATGGGTTCAGCGCGTTTGGATTTCGAAATAGGTTCCTTTTTGTCCTCACTTTTCACTTCTTTCTTTTCAATCTCCTCTTTCTTTTCGAATGTTTGTAACTTAGATAAAAGATTTTTTTTCTCCACCACGACGTCTTCTGGTGGCACAGTGACTGCGTCATCCACACCCTCGGAATCGTTCAACTGAAGCCTGGATAATTAAATAAATAATGATAATATTGTGGACGTGTGGATATTATTTTAGGACTAAAGTACTGACCGTGCTTTAATGAAAGATAACAGCCATATTAGCATATTTTACTTGTAGAAAGAAGAGATGGACGTTTGTAAGGAATATATTTAACGTCAAAATAATTATGTTAAATAGGTTAAAACAAAGATAAAAAATTAAAAGTTAAGAATTATTTTTATTCCGTCGTTTTTTTAAGGCGGTATGGAACTTGTTTTGTTGCTTACTTTTTAATTTCGGTCATAACGTCATCATTGTCTTGCCAACCATCCTCTTCTTCACTTCGTGACGTATCCAAGTCTTCAGAATCAGACGAAAAGAGGTTCGGCAATACTCCATAACGCTGTTCAATAAGTTCCAGTGCCTAGAAAATCAAACAGTGCATAGGAATTAATCAAGCCAGTTTTTTCTGTCATTTTTTCCTGTGATTCTGATGTGATTCTTTCTACTAACCTGTAGTTGAAGTTCTACATTCTTGTGAGTCATCATTTTAACGAACATATCGTAGTCATTTGCAGCCCAAATCTGTTCAAACAAACGCTTGTGGAAATACGCCGGGAGTTCAGCGAGATCGTGAGCAGATATACGACATGCTGCTTCGAACTGATCAGCAGAAATACCTATATCGTCCATAAATGATCCCAGCATCACGTCCACCTATAAAATAAATAAAATATAATATTCAATTCAATGATAGTATTCTAGTAAAGAAATGAAACAAAAATATTTACCAAATTACGATATTCGTCGTGGATTTTTTTATATTCAGGCCTGTCTATTACTTCACCTGAGTCAGTTGGTTCAAATGCTAAAAAAGAACAAACATTTTATTAAGGAAATTAAAATAATTCACATGCAATCAATTGCTTGCATATGATTTGTTTTTGATCTTTTCTCTACCAACTGTTAGAATCGAACCTACATTGAGCTACATAAAAAAATAAGCTTACGCAAAGACTTCTCTTCTATAAATGTTTGCAATGGTACATTCCAGACAGGTCCATGAAGAAAGCCCACTAATGAGTCAAAGACCCATGCATTACTATCAGGGTCATTCATGTTTTAATACGCTATGATATTCCAATTTGATCAGGTCAAGACAGGAATAAGATAGGTAAATCAAAACATCAATAAAGTGATTTCTTGAAGTTTTAATTATATTTGTATCATATGTTGTTATGGTAACTGCTTTTCTCATTGACCATGACCTTGCAAATGCGCAGTTGTTAAAACAGGTCAAAATAAGGGTAAAATAAGCTGCGAGTAGGTTCTTCCTAGTAATGAGCATGTTATATTTATATCGTTAAATTAAAAATATATTAGAATGTGAACAATATTCCTTTAAAGCCTTTGTAGTTGTTCTTGATGTCGTTTCATTTACTTTACATTTGGGTTAAAATAATGTCTAATTTAGTTGTATATTGCAACACTATCTTGACAAAAATTTTAAGTCTTTTGTCAATGTCAGTGTCATAGGAAGGGCTGTCGATGTTGACACATTCTGATTGTATTGATTATTCTTTTTAATAATGTAAATAAATAAACAAAAACCAAAAATGGTAGATATAAGACAAGTAGACGATCACGAAAATGTGAACGGTGTTAATTTATCTCTTAAAATTGAAACTCGTACGAATACACCAAACACAAAAATTTTCACTATCTCATTTAAAAATAAGGAACGAAAGGCTCATTGGCCCAAACTGTCTTTGATTTTAGCTATAATATTTAATATTTTATCTTTTGTATATGTTCGAATAAGTGTTAACACTTTATTAGTTATAATAATTGTTTTATTATTTTTGGTTTTCTTTTGGATTACCTACAGTGTTCAATCAGGTTTGTGCTTTAAGTCTAAGCCTCGACTCTAACTATGGTTCCATTAGATTGTTCATTGGGCTAAAAGTTATTAAACTTTAACTTAATATCTATGTTTCAGAGTCAATAATTGTGATTCCAACAGTAGGAATACAAAGTACTACAAAATATGTTTTCGGTAGAGTAGATGTCTTTGTTCCATGGTCCAACATTGATGATATTGTTATCAATGAAGTTATCAAGTTGGTAAGTAGCAAAATAGTAATAGTTTACAATTACTATATTAGCAATTTGTTCATTTCTGAGGATAAAAGCATAATAATTGTAAAAACTTTCTAATATATGCATTTGAATCGCAATTTAAATAATTTTACATGTTAGAATAAACATTTAAATTACAGAATCGTGTTCTATATTATCTTACACTGCTAGTCAAAAGGGGTCCAAACCAATCTAGTCAAGAATCTGATGGAATAAAGTTAATGCCATTATTTAAGGTAACTTTTGTTTTAATATCAAAATGTATGTTCATAAAACAATTTCATATTCCTGACCAGTATTATTAATATAGTATTTTTTAAACATCTTGGTGGTTAACTTCAGTCTATGCTACATCAAAAATAGTGTTCTGCACACCAACTCATCCAATGTTCCGAGCCAACAATATATTTAAAAAATATTATACCACGTTAAGATGTGTAAAGATTGATTCACACTTATATTTAACTTTATGTATATTTTAATTTTCCAGTATACAAAACCACGATTAGTATTGCTAGAAATAATCTATTCTGAGTTCCAAACATTACTGATGGGTGCACAGCGGGATGGTGTACAAAGTGGCTCTGGAGACATTGAATAAATAAAAAATACATATTAGTGGAATTTGAGTGTCTGTGTGTTATATCTATAAAAAATCATATTGGAATTGCTGATAATTAAAAACCAATTTTTTTTTATCTGTGCCTGTCCGCAAGTACCGGTAAGGTACCGGACGCACGCGTGCATATTAAAGGCTACTTTTTTAATCTATAGCTAACGAAGTCGCGGGTGACTGTAAGTTTGGATATATACAAAAAAATAAAATTATTTAAGTTGGGTATGGTTATTCTTTAAAATTACAGATGTAAAAAAATTATATTATTATTTTTTGTTACATTCCTTATTGTTGATTAAGTCATTAAAATATTTAATTGTGTATATTGTATTCACTAAGCACAAATATATGATTTAAAAGAACAATGTTATTTGCTTTTTACCTTTCTACTTTTGGGCTCATGTCTCCTTACTGTCAGAGTAAAATTATGTGTCGACATTGTTTTCTATTTAAATTGATATTAGATTTAAAGATTATTTTAATGAATTATATGAATACTTGTATATACTGGCCTGAAATTTAAGACTCTTTAGCATGTTGTGAAAAAAAATAGAAAAAAAAATGAAGCCGATTAAAGCGCCCAAGACAGGTTATTTATGTCTTTTGTCAGGATATTACATATTGCTTTCTCTGTTAGTTTTAAAAGAGTGAGAGGGATATCAATATATTGTTGAAGTAGAAGTGTTTTAGCAGTGGAACAGTAAGAATAGACGTTAATACAAAAGAAAATTTCAACATGTTTTAGTAAATTTGGGAAAGAAATTACGTAAGAAATATAATATTTTTTTGGATCACGCGGAAGAAGCAGACACAAGTTAGTATTTCATCTCATAATCATGTTTTAGTTAGATGTTGAGTTGTTGAATCAATTTTGCACGGCCGTATCTTATCAAGAATGATTAGATTGATGATAAATTCAATAAAAACCAAAATCAAATATATATTTTTGCACCTGAACAAATAATTTTAAATTTAAACATATATTACTATGACAACCTAAAATATTCTTGAAAGGAAAGTATGATTTTTTTACTAAAATGTTAAACGAAAGTATATGAATTGTTTTTTGTGTTCTACATAATTTGCTTTGGTCGCAAAGAGCGAAGAGCAATTCCGGGAAATAAGAAAATTGTTATAAATATTATTGACTACCTAACCAAAAGATAAATCTTTGAAGTCGTAATGTCTTTCCTATTAAATTAACCCATAATATTTTTCCTATTCATCTTTTAGTCTATTAACGTAAAAATCTCTTTCAACCAAACTACGGTCAATGCTATTTGAAATTGAGTTTTATAACGAAATTTCCATAGCTTCAATTAACTTTTCAACGTTTGAGTTTTCGACACGCAATTATCATCGTGTCAAGCGTCCGTAGTCACAACGCAAATCGAACCAAAGGATTTCTGACACGTAGCAAAATTCAGCAATTCCAATACCCAATTTGTTTGTTCGTTGCTTACATCGGCTCGCCAATGCTACATTTTTTTTATATCAGAAGGTGGCAAACGAGCGAGCGGCCACCTGAAATCGATGAAATAGCGAAGTGATCGTTGTCCATAGACATACGCAATTGCATATGCTTCATGCATCCTCTCATCCGGAAAGTCCACTTCCACCTTCCATCCCTTCCTTATAAGAAAGAGGGTGGGAAGGGAAAGACGACTATATAAGGCCTCCGGGACGCGCACTCATCAGGCGAAACGCGGAATTGCTTCCACTTCACGCCTGTCTTCTGTGTGGTCGTGGTATTTCACCGGGCGAGCCGGGCCAATTCGTGCGAAGATGTTAAAGCGGGTTCTAGCACTGTTGAGCCGTACATGTACCGCGACGTATATATATTGAAAACTAAAATGAACTGTTGAATATTCACATGTTTGTAACATTCTGTAATTACACACATCCATAGACAGATTAAAGCTTTGTCCGAGGACCCATCAATTAGAGAGCGGGCGATACATGGCCCGCGCAGCGTACCGAAACAAATAATGTTTGTGGTCGCAGTTGAAAATTATTAATCTACATTCCCTCTACATTTAGCGTTTATTATGTAGCAAAATAACAAATATAGTAGTATATTTCGTACATTAAGCACCGGTGGCTCAGTTGTTAAGCACTTGGCTTCTAATCTGCAGATCTTGGGTTTGATTCCTAGCATGTACCAATATGGTTTTCGCTTCTGATTTAGGCCCCTTAGTAGTAGTAGTAGGAGACGTATAGTGAGCTGATGACGATCATCTTAGAGAAACGCTTATATCCAGTGGGCAGATAAAGCTGATGATGATGATATTTAAGAGCGTCGGTGACGCATTGGTTAAGTATGACTTGTATCCTAAGAGTTCTTGTTTTAATCCCCCTGTATGTTTTATGATTTTCAAATGTTACCTTTTAATTTTGTAACTTAAGCTGACGCAATCTTAACATTATAAAGGGCAATGAAAATTAACAGTAACCCTAAGAACTAATAACCATTTAAATCGAGTTTCCGAGTGGTCAGAGAGAGGCGGTTAGCAAAGGCTTAGAGTCTGTCGGAAGTTCGGTGAAACCCGAGTTAAATCTCATTACAGTGGTCACTCATACGAAGGCTTACGGCCACACGATTCCATACCATATGTATGTGCTATTTCGACCACAGAAATACCTAAACAAAAACATTGTATCCTTGTTTTTTCAAAGAGAATGAGTTTTCTTACGGTACGGTCATATTAAACATATTATGTCATTATTGTTTGTGGCAAATTAAATATTATTAAACGACAAACGAACAACCTATTTTTTTAATATCATAAGCTGGCAAACGAGCGAGTGGCCACCTGAAATCGCTGAAATAGCGAAGCGACCGCTGCCCATAGACATACGCATATGCGTTGCCTACCTTTAATCGATGGAGGAGAGGATGCACAGAAAGAAAACATCTTCCCTCCAGTCCACTTCCACTTCTCATCCTTTCCTTATGAGAAAAAGGGTGGGAAGGGAAAGAGGACTAAATTGGGCCTCTAGACGCACACTGATCAGACGAAACGCGGAATTGATTCCACTTCACGCCTGTCTACCTATATGTAACTAGAAACTAGAAATAAAACTTAATTAATAGCCTATGTATTCTTCCAGACTGTGTTCTACACCTAAGCCAAATTTCAGCGAGATACATGTAAACATCTATCCATTCATCCATCTATCTAAACTTTCCCGTTTATAACATTAGTAAGAAATAAGATTTCTTCATGGACATATCACTATTTTCTAACTCAAAAGCGTGTGGGTGTCTTTTAAGGCGTCTTTTACGTTAAAGTAAAGGAATACAAGGTACATGCTTCGTTTACTTTTCATTAAGAGAAAACTTATTCGAGTTTATATTTTGTTACAACCTTTGACAGTACAAATAAGACAAGCTTTCTAGTCCTTCGAGGAAAATCATACGCTTTTATTAAAATACGACTACATATATCGCTTTACGTAGTGAAATAGGTTGACATTATGTTTGTTTGTCGAATTTTCCATTATCATAAAATATCTCATTAGATTAATTAAAAGCGGCAAAAACTTGTAACATTTACATGCACATATATGTGTATTAGTTAAATCCTCGACATATTCAAATGGAGACTGCATCAAGTTGATGATGAGCTATATTCACGTCTATTCATATGCTTCAAAAGACATTTCCAGCGGGTACCGGTCGGAAATGACGCATTCAACGCAAAATGGCGTCGCAGGAGAGTCGGCAGCGAGCTAATTGCCGCGGTGTTGCCGCGCTGCGCCCAATGCGAACGCGAACGAATGATTTCAATCGCCTAATTAGATTTACTCGGAACTGGTTCGGCGCTCCATGTTACATCCCTTTTCCACTAAACGACTCTCTGTGCACGACTACTATAGTACCCGAGTCCTTACATAGGTACGTAATATGTATGTTAAGATTTAGAAATAAACGGTCGCGCGGGTAGTCGCATTAGTGGAAAAGGACTATTACCAGTCAGTTGATTGCTATACGCAAATTGGTAACGCTAACCTGTTAAAAGTGTTATTGAATTTCACAATAGCGATACGTTTTGAAACTATGTTAGGAATTGTTTGTTAAAAAAGTTTAGAACACAAAAAACAATGCATTGATTAAGGAAGTTTTAGGTTTTTACAAAATAAACTTGATAATAATAATTTTTTTTGCTAATTCAGGTGAATGTGGCTAATGTTCAAAAAAATCATTACTTGGTCGATGTTAAATTGGTGCTTACGATTTTACAATGGAGTTTATTTGATTAAAAAATCATACTATCTCATCTACAAAAATATTACACTTTACCGGAGAACGTTTAAAAACAATATCTTACATTTACCGTTATTTTTAAGGATCAAAGGATCGTCAGGAACTAAGGTCGGCCGGTGTTTGTGAAACTAAATATTTCGAGTGTTCCAGAAGTTGTACAAAGCGTTTGTTCTTTATATAGCAGAATATGATAGTTTCCTGCAAATACTTTGTTTTAAAATAAAGTAATAAAGAAATGTAAGTTTAAATTACGAGTCAAAGGGACTTTAAAAAATCTAATGCTCGTTTGAACATTTTTACATACACTTCACCAAATTTGCCGTGGACGAAAAGTAATCAAGTAACAAAAAAAATCTCAATTGTTTTTGCTACAGAGTTACTACGAAAAGCAAAAATCAATCTATTCCATGGTAACTTTACATTTTTCCGTGAATAAAAGGTAGCGGCAGTATTAGGTCCTTCAAGGAAAGAGCGTACTCCCTTAAGCTCAAATGTTATTAGTAAGAACGCCACTCCTTTGCTCCAATCTCCTATCAATTTTGGTTATTACAATTAAGATACCAAACTAACTGCTTGATAAGAAATTCACCTTTTTGTTAGGTTTATCGTTTAGATTATTTATTTAGAAGGTTATTATTCTATAAGTGTATATTGTTAGGAAGAAAATACGACACTGTGCCGGTGTACTGGCGCAACACTAGCCTTACTAAAATGTCGACGTTCATGTCCCCTCACTAATCATTCTGACACTTGATTTCGTAACAAAAGAACGCCATTCGCGCCAAAGGATTCTAACTAATAATGTCTAGAAATATATAATTTTATTCTGCTAGCTTTCCGTGGACGCGACACATTACCCGGCTGACGATATTGGCCCCGCTGCATGCGAGTAGCTCCGTTGAAGATATCCTTTATTAAATTTCAAATAGCATCCGGTGTGCCGCCGCCAGCTATAACTAATGAAAATTCACATATGTATGTATCTGACGTACACATGTATCCCTGACGTATGTACGGAAGCATTCAACAGACTTCCGCATTAATAATGCAAGATGTTCACAATTTTATTAAGTTTATGGCAATGTAAAGATATTTTAAATATATTTACAGATATACGAACGTAAACATAACAAAAAAAGACAATTAGTAAAGGAAATTTTGAAGTTCCCCTCGAAATTGTTACGAAGGAGTAAAATTTACAGTATGATATAAATATTATTATTTATCTAAACCTGAGTGATGTACGAAAATCTATATATCTATATGTCAAAAATAAAGCGGTTCTTCTGTCTGTTCGTATCATTGTCTAATCATATTATATCATATGATCTGAAGATGACGCGCTTAGTTCAAGAGTTTCACGCGTATATGTCCTGATGATTTTATATTTGGACAAATCGCGGGGCAAAATAAGCAAAGAAGGCATAAAATGAATAACTATTTGGTAAGATTCACCGAACTAAATAATATCCCTTGTCTTCGAAGGAAAAGTTTATATTAGGTTTTCTTTTATTACCTAACTTATTTTCCGTTGAGTCCGGCTCGGCAAATCTTGTTTACAGATATATTGCAAAACTGTTTCTAAAATAGTTTTTCTACAATATTGTTTGAAAATTACCAAGTGTTTTGCGTTCATAGTGAATGATTGAATGAAAATATAGAAATACTAGCTATCGCCCGCGACTCCGTCCACGCGGAATGAGAAATATATATTATTCGACTTTCAGACCTACAGAAAATGCATATAAAACTTCATAAAAATCGGTCAAGCCGTTTCGAAGGAATGTAGTAAGTAAAAGTGTGACACGAGAATTTTATATGCATGATTTTCTCTTTAAATACTGTTCTATTTACAAAAATGGCAGATACAAGATAAAGCTATTTTGAGTATGAAGTTTTAGCTTAAGTCACAGCATTGTACAATCTTCTCCGTGTACGATTTATTTTGAACGTATAGGTGTTAAAAATTCTGCATATTACCACAAGATTGAGATGCTATCGGTATTTCGATCCTTTTAATTTATTTTCCGTATTCACACCACAAAAAAACGAAAGAGAAAGAGTCAAAAGATTTTGAAAATTAAAAACCTAAATTTAAACGATTCTGCCTTAGCCATGTCTTTGATACGTTGGTTACTTTTGCTTGATTGATTTAGCTATTTATAATGAACAATTTTAGAAAGTAGAATATAAATATGTTCTAGGAAAACTATTTATTTATAATAATAATTTCATCTTTGTCAGTTTATTCGGTAGCTCATTTAGCCTTTTGTGGCTCCAAAAATTGTACTGCGTCGTGTAACTTCACTTTCCTTTGTTGCCGAGTCAAAGTTTATATTAGGTTTATTTTTATGACGCTCGAAAACTTTTGCAGAAGAATTTGCGAAGTCAGTTACAATCTGTGGTTACGGAAATTGCGTAATCTGACCAAACTGCATACAATTACTACATTGTTGTACAAAACTTGTTTTGTTTGGAATAAGTTTTAATTGATTTTTTTTACGTCAATTCAGACTTTTTCATTTATATATTTAATCAACAAAAAAGTCTTCTTTTCATTCGCTTTACATCTAATATTATAAATACAAATGTTTGGATGGATGGATGTTTGTTTGAAGCTATCTCCGGAACGGCTCAACGGATTTTGATGAGATTTTTGCACAGATGTAGAACATAGTCTGGAAGAATACGTAGGCTACTAGTTAAATTCTTTTTAATTTGGCACGGACTGAGTCGCGGGCGACAGCTAGTTGATTTATAAAGGTAGTTCTAGGAAAAAGCGTAATTCTTTCTTAAAGGCCGGGAGCGTCTGCAGTTCCTCTGATGTTGTTGTCCGATCAATTAATATTAATCGGAGTATTGCATGTTTGCCTTCTTACCCTAAAAAAATTGATGAAATCATTATGTGAAATAACCGGGGCATAGGAATGTAAACAATAAAATAGCTAAATTTACTGACTTAATTCGTTTGATTGATTGTGTTGGCTTATAGCAAACAATCTATATGGTAATAGGCGACGGCACAGAACGATCTTTTTTAGAGGCCGCATCCTTATTATGTAAATCCAGAGTACGGGTGAGTTGCCTAATCCGTAATCGGACGATGTCGATATTGTTCAGATTGTTCCACCTTTATTGGGGTACAGGAATATCGATTTTCAGACTTACCGCTTGTAAGGCGATTTATTTAAGCGGCAAGGTAGGAATAATTCGGCATCCCAAGTAGCGTTCGTATTTTCCTAATACTGTAAAAATGTCTGGGCGTCTTAGATGGGTGTGTAATAATATTTTTGTACTAAAACGTTGCAAGCGGATGCTTGATATATCGCTTAAATAAATACAACTTTAAATTAAATTTATGAGGAATAATATATGAAAATCTTTTAAAATAACAGCCAAAAATAAAGCGATTATCAGTATGAATTGTGAACTCCGTCCTCCTCCGTCGATTAAAGGTAGATAACGCATATGCAATTGCGTATGGGCAAAGGTTGCTTCGTTATTTCAGCGATTTCAGGTGGCCGCTCGCTCGTTTGCTACCTATTGATATATAAAAAAGTGAATAAGGTAAATATCTAAAGAGTTGGGAATTATAATAATGATATACATATATTATCGTTATATTTCAAATATATAAAACGTTAAGACTATCCTTTTAAATTTATGAAACAAGTACATGGCAACAATTTAATATCTCATCTTGTAATATAAGGAAAATATAATATTAAAAATGAATTCTATTCAAAGAAGATTTCCCGTTATTTTGTTTGTGTATTGAAGTTTATTTTCGCGGCGGCGTTACAAAGGAAAATCATTACGGGCTAAGGCGTCTCGTTACAATCAGAAATAAAGACACGTTAAGAAAGTTCAACGTCGTCCGAACTTCTGTCCCCCGGGTTACTTCTTTGACAGTTCGCTAAGAGTTAGAACCTTATAAATAGTGTTCCCGAAGGAAGGAATTTTCAACATTACAGACTGTTTTTCGCGAAAAGATCCTCGCGGAACAAATTCGAACAGGACAAAAATAGGCGCATGATAGTTTTTTGTCGTTCCCCTATCCCCTTTGGACATCTAAACGGCAATATTCGATTTTATATCGTAAAAGGTGCGGTAGCTTTTAGCAGTTTCGAATAAGTTATGACAAGGGTAGGCCACTTCGGATACCTCGGTTAAATTAAAATTGTTTTCCTTGTATCGAGAATTATTTTATCTATACATACTTTGTAATATAAAATGGAACCGCGACCGGCTTAGTATTACATTCTCTATAAACAAAATAAGTACATACATGAAGATGTCTGCACCTCGATGCTTTATTCACGGCTGGCAGGTCCTGTTCATTACGTCAAGGTCAAGTTTGCTGTGCGAAATCGATGTTGCCCTGTAACGCGTATTCCATTGCCCCCAGCTTTCGCTAATCCGCAATACTTAGTTAAGAAACTTGTACTACTAATCTCAACTATCAAATTAACACAAATTTAATGCTAAAATATTGAAATCGGCTGCCCACAAGCCCGATCGCGTACTCGAACGATGGTTTTCAAAGTGTTCACACGGGGAATGATAACACTAAAATAAATAGGTTTACCTACATTTTAGATATTATTTTATATTATATAACATTATAATATAACATTTATCATTAACCTAAAGTAAATATACAAATAATTGATAGTGAATTATAAGTTTTTGATTTGATATGTTATAGTAAGATATTCGATATTTAATGCTATTCACACATAAATTAAGAAGTAATAATAAAACTATGTTACTCTTAATAATCCAATGGACCTAGTTTTTAAAATAATAAATGAACGAGTTTGCAATAAATATTAATAAAATATTTTTTAAAAAGAGGGAGCTAGCTTGCGCAGCGCGTCTCCAGGGAAATCACTACCTTCAGTAATTATGTGTTTTTGTCTCTTCGCCGACATTTTTTTTCTGCCACTAGTCAACAATGAAATTCTCTTGAGCAGGCTGATATTTAAAAAAAAACTTTTTATATTTTCTGATGACAAAAATTCTTTTTAATATTCACATGTGAAATAAATATGATATTTTATGTAGGTCATAGGTTATTAATGTTTTATTTATAGTAATATGTTTCTTTTAAAGTTACGCAGACAGAATTTACTTCCAATTTAAAAACCGGTATAGTTACATGCTCTAACTCTTTGAAATTGGAACTAATTTATTTAATTTTAATTAATAAACTGTATGTTGAAATTATTTATTGATTAATTATTGTCAGATTAAATACATTAAATTCAAATGACTAAAAACATTTTCAAAACTCACAATATTATACGTTATACAATATTTAAAAATAAAATTAATTAATACGTGAATTTGGTTGCAACGTGGACCTGCGCGTTGGATTAAATTGTATTTGTTTCTTGCTTTGAACATCACGTGCATTTGTTCCAACTTGTACTTTGTCGTCATATTTAAAACAAATGCTACCGGATCCCATTTTATTCGATGCGGACGCTATTATTGAAGCCATGGTGTATGCTGGATGAGGTAAATCTGGGAGTTGTGATATGTATTTGCGTGTCTTATCTTCTTTTAAATCACTTATATTAGTTAAAATTGTGTCCTTTTCTATTATACTTGAGTCATTTTGGGTAAATTGTGAATCAATAGTTTCAGAATTATGGTTTGATAATTCACAGCGATAATATGATAATCTGAGATGGGACAAATCTTCAAAAAATGAACCATCAACGCTTTCGTTTAAGTTGAAAGAGTTGGTTTCTGATGTCTTATTATTTTGAAAACTCATTTTTCACTTTATAATACGTTTGCTTTAATTCACTGATTGTTTCATTTGACAACACTTATTGTTACCCCCAATTTTTTTTTGGATGTTTGATTACCCGCTTAAAATATTATACACAGACTAAATAACTTTGTAATAAATCTGTAGTTTGTCTTTGGTATAAAATAAAATGTTAATTATATTTTAATAATATTAAATAATTACATAATTTAGTTTACTAATAACTACTTGATACTGATACTTGATTTATTATCTAATTTAAACAAACTGTTTCGCAGTTTTTTTATCTATATAAAACTAAGAAACAAAACATTGAAATACCGATGCTAATACGTTATTAAGTACAGTTTTTTCCTTTTAGTAAACAGTTGATTTGACTGTTATATCAAATGTATTTCATGGGATAGTAACTTTGACTGTCATATATATGATTGTTAGTCCTTAACGTTAGTTAAAAAAAAAAACTATGACTACAATAATTTTATACACGTCATACTCCATAGGTATGTTTGTTCAGATGATTCATGTTTCTCCGATATCAAAAAAAAAATCGCTAATATTCGATATGTCAAGAAACAGACAATATAAACTTAAAGTATGAGTTAAGAGGTATATGACGAGAATATCTTATCTAGACATATGAGATTATAACATGTACTATAAAAGTGCAACGTTTCTTTATCCCATAATTGTAATCGGAAACATCAAGCAACATGAAGGTGGCTATAGTTCTTTTCTCTGTGCTGGCTCTTAGCCTTTCAGCTCCTCAGCCGAGGAAGATTTTCCACGAGAACGCTGAGGACTTCCTCGATCTGATTTATGAAGAAGCTGGCCACGAAATGATGCACCTGGTCGAACACTACATCGAGTTCGAAGAGTTCACCAAGTCTCTTGACTACATGGCCACCCCCAACTTCAGAAATCTTGTCTACGAAATGGAATCTTTACCCGAATTCAAAGCTGTGAGTACTATTTCTATAAAATCATTGTACAATATTATCTTAGTTGTTCTTCCAATCATAAGACAAGTAAAATTTATTATAGTTACTAAATTGGTTGTAAAACTTTTTTGCAAATGCTTTCGGACTTCTTGAAGTACTAGCTGTCGCCCGCGATTCTGTTCGTGTGAAATTAGAAAATAAAATAACTAGTGGCCATGTGTTACATCTATGCCAAATTTTATCGAGATCAATTGAGTCGTTTTGGAGATTCCTTCTAATAAACATCCATCCGAAAATTAGCATTTATAATATTAGTAAGATAAGCCTCGGTTATTAAAAGTATATTTTATTAAAAGCATCAAATTTCAGGTGATAGACTTCTTGGAAAAAGATAATATTGACATCACGTACTTCGTTGAGCGATTGAATGAAATGATCGGTAAGAATAATTAATTTAAGTACATAAATAAAAGCAAAGTAGAAAAATATGAATCAATGTTCCTTAAATACTGTGCCGTTGTATCGGAGCAACACAAGCCTTATTAAAATATCAATATTTACGTCCCTTACTAAGCAATCTGACACACGACTTGGTAACGAAAGCGCGCCATTCGTACTAAATGATCCTAAAAGTATGTATGTTTAACGATTTGTCTCATTTGAAGCTATAACTCGATCGTATTCTCCTGCCAAGTGTTATAGATACATAAAGTCAGCTTCTTGCTATACATTCATACCATGTTTTTATGCAGATGAAATACAAAACGACAAAAGAAAACGCCACACTCTGAGCGGTAGGGACATGACCGCTTTCATCAACGACTGTATCGATGTCTTCCCTAAGGACAAGCTGACGGCCCTTTACGAACAGAAAATTGCTGAAGACGAAGAATTCAGAGTCGCCATGGAAAACTTGAACAGCGAAGAATGGGATCAAGTATGGAACGCTCTGTGGGAAAGTGAGACCTTCATTGAGGAAGCTAACATTCTGCTTGAAAATGGAATTGACCTGAAAGTTCTTCTTCGTGAGGTTAAAGCTGTTTTTGGACAGTTCAAGAAATAAATTTAATATGCATTTTGCTTGTTGATATGCAAAAATAAATGTAATTTAAGTTCACAAAATTTTTTTTTTCATTACACATTAATAAGACATGGGTTGTGACTTAGGTTTTATAAAAATAGTATAATTCTTTTGGATTACATCAGATATCAATGGAAAACTCCATCAGCATCGCGATTTATTTTTTATAACCTAGCCTCTAATCAAACTTTGCTAATCCAGACAAGTTTATAATCAAAAAGTTTATGTAGCAATGTTTTCTTCTCAACGAATGTTGTAGAAAACCCTTTCAAAATGTTATTATCTTCAACGTTGCATCGTGAGTTCATTAGCTGTATTGTTTCTATTGTTCTAAATTATTGTTTATTGCGGACGTAATGTTGTTTTATGATATAATTTATCCGATGTTTGTTCTTTGAAACAATCGCTCTGAAGACTCGGGGTGCACACCTCGGCCCGTCAAGTCGTACTCCAACAACTTTGCAGTCTATTTTAAACAATTTCAAGACACCGACTGCAAGATGAAGAATGAGCTTGTTCTTTCATTATTCTTTTATATTGGACTTCCTTCCGGAAATACGCTTCCCACGAGCATTGCTAAGGTGAGTTGTGAGTTACTTTCATTTGTAGTAATTTGTCTATTTCTTTTAAACGAAACGTATAAAGTGGATTAAGCATTTTATTAATTACTAAATAGAAAAATAATTTATTGTATATTTCAAAGTCGATCACATTACATATTAATAAACTGTGTTAAAAATTATAAAGAAAAATATAGAATGAATTAAATGGTGTGACCACAGATCATTATTACTCTAGCCTTATCCCACTCACGTGGAGTTGGCGCATAAGATTTTATAAACCTAATTTTTGGCTTAACTTTTGCCGCCGGCTGCCACCAACTCTACTTGGGGAACCACTGTTGTTTGTTATTATTTGTTTTTATTGCTTTGTCGAGTTCAAAATAATAACTTGATTCATCGTAAAAATTTATATATTTTCATAATTAAATAAGAATAAGTTCAAAAAATTTCAACGATTTTTTTGGGATATTAAAATTAAATAAATATTTTAATGTTTTTTTAGCTTACTACGGAGTATACCGTGGATAGAAATTCCCAAACGACAGATATAGATATAATGGATACGTCTATTTTATTATCTGATGACACAACATTCACAACTATTCCTAAATTCGATCTTGAGGATCATCGAAATACTATTAATGATTCGGAAATATTAAGTCAAGGAGTTGAGAGTCCAAATAACATAAATGGTCGATCGTTTATATTTATTCGTCAAAAATTCAAAAGTCCTATGCTTAATTTATTTCACTCACAAATGCTGAATCCTAACGATGTCATAAACGCATCGCCAAAATCAGCCTTATCAAATATAGACAATGATAAATTTGAAGAATTAAGCCGAAGATTTGCTACTCTTAATGTTGCTAACCCACCCAAAGACAAGATGGCAATGGACAAAATGTCCAAGACACTTGATAAAACTCAAGGGACCTTACTAAGTCAATTATGCTATAGTAGGTTAAAGTTGGAAAACGATGGAATGGTAAATAAAATAAAAGACAAACTGAAAGTTCAGGATGTAGAAAAGGCTGCAAATGAACATCGTGAATATTTAGAACTGTTAAAACCACCATTGTTGCGTAAAGCATATAATGAAGATGCTCCGAAATTAGCGATGCACGAAATCGACAGACAAAAGATTGAACCTTCAAATGTATCACCTTATGTACGCAACCAGGATACTGCTTTAACTTTCGCAAAAATATCATCAAATTTAAGAGATAGCTTTTTAAAAAAGTATAATAAAGATAGTCGTTCTTACAAACCTAAAGGAACTTATACTAAAAATAAAGTAACAAATCACCAGCACAACAATCAACATAATCTTCACGATGTAACATTTCATAACGTTGAAGAAAATATGGCGCGAAAAGGTAATGAAGAAAACACGGATGAATATAAAGGTATAGGTAAATTATCTAAAAACAATTTTGATAAAGTAAAAGATAACAAAATGAAACCAGCTCACGTTAATAGGATTCATTATTGTCATGATTGTGGAAAAAACGTGAATAGTGATCCGTATCATCGGAAGAGAATCGAAGCGGATTGCAAATGTGGTCGTCATGTTTATTTGAAAGGTCGATCTGAATGGGAAGATCAAGAACAACCTGGACCTATTACTCCGACTGATAAACATCAAATAACAGTACGATACAGTCCTACAGATAATAAAGAGGAAAAGGCTATGATAGATGTTGCGATAGCTAGAAATCCACATTTGTATTAGGTATCTGTATCCATACGTTAGATTCTTAACACAAAATCGAATTTAAATCTAACTGTGGCTACCATTGAGGAATTTGTAAATACTTGTAAAATAATCATAAAAAAGTATAAAAAAATCAAATAAACACAATAAATAAATAATGTATAGTTTCATTTTTGACTGCAAACATTAGAAAACATTAAATTAGAGCTTTAAACGGGCTTAATGTAGCACAGTTCAGTACTTTCATATTTTTTAAGGCCTAGTTAATCATACTACTGGATAGAAGTATTTGATGAGTTGTTGGATAATTATTTACTTGAAATTTAATTATTTTATGACCAAAGTACTGAAAGGTGGCAGTTTATTTAAAAGTAAGTATTCAATGGGAAAGCGTAAGGCGTACGATCACGATAAGAAGTGTAAAAGCTATCGCATCTTAGATCGCTGCGCGCGCATTCCCCTTCTGACTACCAGCGTTTGTTGCTCTGAGAGATGAAATGTAAACACACCGGAATGGCTACAGATGTCCAGATAGCCAATAGAGATTGCAAAGACATAAAAACTACTGGAAACGACAAAATACATGACAGTCCCACACATTTCAATAAATCTTAAAAGTATTAAAATTACAAATATCAAGACCAAATTAAAAGGATAAGTTTTATATTGTTTGTAAATTAAATTTATTATGGATTCCAATGTCGCATCTAGTAGTTATACATTTGTGTCACTCTTAGCCATATTTGTTGAAGGAGATGACTTTTGCTCGGACACGGACATCGTTGCAAAATATTTGCGACTTCGAGTTGTCTATTTTCAATGTAACTATTGCGTTTGTTTGTGTTTGTATTCGCTTCTGATAATACTACTTAGTAAATACAAACAACAATTCAATTTGTCCTTAAACGTTTCCACAGACAGCCATAGAATGTGTTGTAAATAATGTTGACAAAATACAAGAGAAATGAAATGAACTGTGACATCTTTTTTTCCAACAGACAGATTAACGACATAGATTTTTCTGCCTGATAAATATGGAAAGAGTGAATCATTTTAGTTATTTTGAACATTGATCATGTTTATCTTTGTTGAAGATAAATATTACGTGAGACACTCGTGGCCTATCGTTTGTATTACATTTTTTGTTCTTGATTTTCTCGGTTCGATTACTATTATGTAAAAAATAAAATGATACTGAAATTTGTATTCATGGTAGTTGTCGTCCGCGATTCCGTTCGCGCAGAATTAAAAAATAATTAGTAGCCTATGTGTTTTACCAAACTATGTTCTACATTTATGCCAAATTTCAGCGAGATCAAAGGTGGCAAACGAGCGAGCGACCACCTGTAATCGGTGAAATAGCGAAGTGTTCGTTGCCCATAGACTTACGCAATTGCATATACGTTGCCAACCTTTAATCGACGGAGGAGAAGATGCACAAAAATAAAATATTTTCCCTTTCCATGCATCCTCTCATCCGGAAAGTCCACTTCCACCTCCCATCCTTTCCTTATAAGAAAAAGAGTGGGAAGGGAAAGAGGACTAAATTAAGCCTCCGGGACGCACCCTCATCAGACGGTATGCGTAATTGCTTCTACTTGACGCCTGTCTTCTGTGTGGTCGTGGTATTTCACCGGGCCAATTCGTGCGAAGATGTTAAAGCGAGCTCTACCACTGTTAAAAATATGTTTATAGTAATATATGTTTTTAGATTATATATTTTTTATTATTTCAATAGTGTAATGCAAGGAGGATGTTAAGTGAGGTAGTTAGCGTGATATACTGCGCCCTGGGTAAGATAAAGTAGCGCGGTACATCTGATATTTACCAGCGTGTCGTGTAAGGAGGTAACAAATACTTTATCTCCTTTATTAACATGTCCTAGGTAGAAACGTTTCTTTATAAAGTTTTAATTTCAAATAGTAAAAGTTCTCTTTCAATTTGAAGAAAGTCAAATCAAGTAAAAAAGTTCTCTCGCAATCTTACTAATATTATAAATGCGTATATTTGTATGAATGGATGTTTGTATGAAGGTATCTCCGGGACGACTCAATGGATCTTTATGAACGTTGGCATAGATGTAGAACATATCCAAGAAGAACGCATTGGCTACTAATTAGATTTTTTAATTTCACGCTGATGGAGTCACGTGTGACTGCTAGTCAATCTACAAATGCACAGGCTTTATATTTAATTTGTATTTAGGTACCTCACACCTTGAAGTGGTAGAATTTACCTAGTCCATTTCTCTATAATCAACGTCGTCGGCATAATTGTACTCGTCTGTCGTCTCCTGTAAAATTCGATGAATGTCATTAGAGGCGAGACGTTCCTCTTGTATGAAATTAATCCCAGAAATTAACATAATCAAAAGATAATATATTCAGTTCCTCACATCTAATATAAAAAGTTAATTATTTTTTTGTTGTTAAAAAGTTGCGTGGTAACTATAAGTATTAAAAAATCAATACAAATAATTATATTTAAAATACTTCAAAGGAACACGCTGTATATCCCTTTAACTGTCTGTAGTATGTTATAAATGTTCTGCAAAGAGTATGTCGGTTGTGTAAACATAAAGAACATGGGATAATTTTAGCCTATTATGGACATCATTAGACTTTTGTCTTAAAAACAAATGCCGTAATAAATAGCGATTTCACTTCTGTTGTTGACTGTACATCGCTCATCTTACTTCTTTGAACTAAATCTATTGAAGCTAAAAGTTGAGATCGGAAAATAATGAAATGGTATTGGAAATTTATTGCACCTACACTGTAGCAGACTACTTGAAGTTCTATTATTTTATATAACGCCCTGTCTAGATAACATACTTGTACACTCAAGCACATATTTAAAAAAGAAACTCGATAAACAAAGAAATTATTAATACCATTTTTTGTACACTTTTATGTAAGAAGTGAATATTGTTTATTGAAATTGAAGTAAATTTTAGTTATTTAAAAATCAAAATAAATACATAAGTTTTTAATATTTTTTTGGGAATAAAATGTATTAAAAAACTAGTTACTACTAATTAGACTTTGTCCGCGCAGGATTTAAATAAGACATAGGCCTATATGTTTTATTATATTGTCCAGACTATGTTCTACATCAATGCCAAATTTCATGGAGATCCATTCAGCGGTTCTAAAGATACCTTCTAACATCCATCCATCTAAACATTTTCATTTATAATAGTAAGTTCAGAATCAGTTTTTACTCCAATAAATTAATATAACAAGGAAAAACTATCTATTTTGATAATATCTAATGTTATCCAATTTTTTTTTTCTTGTCCCAATGAATACGTTCATGAGTGTATCAGCAAAAGCGTGGAGTTTTACTTATTGTGAGAGAATTACGTGCCCGGAATTACTGATATGAGTCTTATATGATCACGTACATATTTGTTCTATTTGCTGGTTCGTTGCCACTAATACTGAATCTGTAGACCTTGTTCTATCTTTATATATATAATTCTTCTGTGAGTGTGTATGTCACTGAACTTCTCTCAAACGACTGGACCGATTTTGATGAAATTTTTTGTGTGTGTTCAAGGGGATCTGGGAATGGTTTAGATTCACAATTTTGTCCGCTGGACAATGTTTTTTTAATTAATTTTTAATTTATTAGTAGTTGTTGATTTTGGAATGTTTTACATTGGATCCGACAGACGGCGCTACCATCGCAGTATCAAATTGTCAGACAACGTCTATCGGGTCCGCTAGTACAATATAAAATAGTTTCGGTTAAGAAAAAAAATGGCGACCCATTGGTGTCTTAACATAAGACACGTTTAAGGTATCTTACGAGTTTAAAAGTATATTTCTATTATGGACGATGTTAATGATGTTTAAATATAGATTTAGTATTGATTTTTTATTAAAATAATAATGAATACAATAATATTTATTTTCACAACAATTACAAGCATATAAGTACAAACGCAACTTTGTTGTTACATATTCGTGATTTTTATGACCCTAAGTTGAATTTTACTAACTTGCGTGGAAATTATATCCTTACAGGGTTACAAAGAGGAATAAATAGTTTTGAGTAACAACTTTTTCGTCGTATTATGATACAATAATTTAGTTTGAGTCTTTATATTTATCAAAAAATAGTGACAGATTATTTAGTTTGAACTTTTGCTCATTATAATTCGGCAGGAATTAAAAAACTGAATTAATAATAGTATTTTATACGTTGACTAGGTAGCCCGCCACTCCGTCCGCAAAGAATTAAAAAGTAACATGTTTAGTAGCCTATGTGTTCTTCCAGATTCTATATGTATTCCAAATTTCAGCAAGATCCGTTCAGACGTTCTGGAGACACCTTCAAACAAACATCCATCCATCTAAACATTCGTATTTATAATATTAGTAAGAAGTAGGATTGGTTAAGAATAATTATATTTAAGTATATATATTGTTCATATGTTTATCTTGTAAGTTTTCAGCAGTGCAGTGTAAGCGTTGCTTAGTGAGGTAGTTAGCGTGATGTACGGTGGTTGGCGCGAGACAAAGGAGCGCGGTGCATCTGATAGTTGGTCGGCTGTCGGCGCACGCCGCGAGCCCTTTGTCTTGACTGCTTAACACGTGGTTAGTTTAAGAGATGCTGCTTTTTATACTTTAAATATTAGCGCAAGAAATTTTCGAATTTTAGCCTTAAATATTTTGTATATATTATCAAAAGATCGTAAAATATGATGTTAAACTTTTATATATATCTGTCGCTTTCTCGCACATTCTAAATGTACGATGTTTTAGCTGTATCTTAAAGTCTTCTAAACCTTTTTAAAACTCGATTGAGATTATTAAAAATTATGCGAAAATTTTACATTTTACAGGCACGTGTATCACACTGGACTGAACTCAAGTACTGCTCGCGTTAACGCAAAGTGCACAATTCAAAAAATTATGCGGCAATAAATTAAAATTTACCCTATAAGCGTTAAACCCGCGCAGCGCAGTGCTGCCAACGTTTGCACACTAGCTGCAATCATTCTCTTTTATTGCCAACATTAAAAAACACCACAATACATTTAATCACTTGTCTAATTAATGTCGTGCTACACTTCGTTTTTAACAGATAAATCGAATCATTACTGTTCATTAAAAGAGATTTAAAACG